CTTAATCTGGGACATGACCGCGGATATCATGTTAGACCGGGATGATGATGCGAGTCTACATGATCTGGCCATGATACAACACCTGCTGGCCATGAGATTGACGAAGAAGAAGAGCAACCCGTCCACGGAGCTGTCCGAGGAAGGTACATCGAGTAATTGGTTGAAGCAAGGCACATGCTTGGCTCAACACAGTGGGATGGAAGGACATGTTTGTAACCTGGGACACTGCCTGATTACGCTAAGCGAGCAGCATCGACAACTGGCACGATTGTACGGAAGATTGAGCATGTCAGATAAGAGTGCCATGGAGTTGGTCGCAGACTGCCATGGGGTGACGGACGTAAACCTGATCACAGCCTTGGGATTTTGCAGCATGACGAGTTCGATAGAATCGCTCGAGCGCTTGGAGCGTGCCCATGAGCTAGTGACGTCCCTCAGCGTGGAAATATTCCCTGGAGCATTACAGACAGAACAAAAGATTGGAGGCTGGCGAGAAGCCCTAGAGAATGAAATGAATCTGAAGGATAGTGAAGCCTATCACAGACCTACTGGTTCAAAATATATGGTGGGTTCAAGCTCAGCGCCGTATTGTAATAGCAAGTATCCTACGCACATGGTGGTGATGGATGCGAGGACGCAACAAGTGTTGGTTGACCAACTTTTCTCTGTGCCAAAGTGCGTGAGGTTGGCCAGAATGTCAGAGAGGTCATATGACTTGTTGGCAAAGATCTTTCGGGCAGTCCCGAAGAGATCCGAAGGCGAGTTGCAAGACGTTGTGGGTGAAGAGTTCATGAGACTGAACGAAGGCAACGTGAGTGAGTTCCAGAAACAGAAAGCGAGTGGAGCGTTACCTACTGAATTCCCCACCATAGAAGAGAAAGACGACCTACATAGAATTCTGATGGAAGTGGAACCGTTATTGGGAGCCTCAGGGTATCGGACCCGAAGGAACATAGTGAGAACCCATGGGGAGTATCCTTGCCACTGCTTAGCGCAGACGTTGTGGTACCCCAAACGCGGGAATCTGATCCTAGTATGGGACGTGGAGGAGTTGTACTCCACGGGGTTGCCCGATCAGAATCAACCAGTGTCAATCGTGGTGGTTAGCGCCATGCTAGCAGTGAGATGGTTGGAGGCTAATGCAGACACAAGTGAGCAGGAGACGGCCGTGCCGACTCCTGAACAGCTGAGCAACGTGAAAATGAGTAGTGAATTGGATCTTTTCAGAACCACCTGCAAGGTTCTGAGAATACCTAAAGCCATTGAAAGAATATGGTCAAGGCAAAGATTGATGCCTTGGTTCCGTGCAGTGATGACATCTTGGATGTATGAACGCGCGAAGCGTTACATGTCAAGGAATACGGAAGCCTATCAATCTTTCCAGCTAGATATAGGACCAGGAGCCTATAAGCGAGCATTCTTGACGCACAGAAACGCGGTCACCACAGCGGTGAAGCGGGTAGCTGGAACGCCTTGTGTTACTGAAGATGAGAAGAAAGAGGTCTTAAGAGCTGACCTAGAACGAAACGTGAGCCTGTGTCTTCACAACAGCTTTTGCAGGAACCGGGAGCAGAAGGTGAATGTGGACTTGCTACCTTGTTGCAAACCGAGGCTGTTGGAACAGGAGGGTTGGGGCACGGCCCGCAACTCTCTGGACACGTTAGAGAAAGTTCTGGAAGACAGTGACGCTGAACATCAGGATGGAGAAATGATGGAGTGAAGATGACCAAAGAAGAGAAGAGAAGGAGAGAAAAACTTGATTGTATTTGTGTGCTAAAACTTAAACCAATCAACCAAGTTTTGATTATTGAACTTGTTAAACTTTTTGTTTTGATTTAGTTTGGTCAGACCAAACTTTGAAAATTGTTGCAATTGTTAAAATTGTTGAAATTGTTGATTTTAGTTACTACTATCTATGTATGTATATAAGGAGCATAGGTGAGTATATTTACCTATTTATTCCCGACTGAAGTTTTTAACCTGTGTAAGACACAAATTCACTGTGTGGCGACATGGTAAGTTTGAGTAAACTCGCTCGGGAAGGGTGGGTAACTCAAGAACTTTCCTAGCCACAGAGTTTCTTAGTTTTAATATTGAAAGGACCGCATAAATGACTGATTATACTTGGTGAGTGAAGTTAAGTTAATTTTAACGGGTGCGTGGCCGTGCCACGTCCCACTTTTTAATCACAAAGAGCGAAAAGAAGTTTTATAACAAGACGACGTAAGTAGTCAGAAAAGAAATTTTATCTAGGACACTCCTCATGGTGCAAATTTTGTGAAAATGTTGAAAGGCAGTGAGATGTAGTACGATGCCATTTGTGAACACGTAGTGAGTTGAAGTGGAGTAGATAAATTTCATTTTCTTATGCGATTTGTAAGATTGGTTACAGAAAACTGGATACCTACTTGGCGATAACCCGGTGTTGTGCGATCAATAGGGACATTGATGGAGACTTGTCCGGGGAGTATGTGCCATTCTGCCAGATGACACAGCATAACCTTCCCGCGACAGAAATAAAAGTGACTAAAGGCCTTATGAACAGAAAAGTGTTGCGACGGAGGGTCAGAATGTTCTAGAATTTTTATTTTTAAAATTTCGATCGGAAGAAGAACATTTCTGAGAAATAGAAAAAAGACGGCCATTTTGAATAAAAAAGACGAAAATCAGAACCACGATATAGATTGTGAAGAACAGTTGTATCAGAGACAGAAAAACACGGAGCCTCTTATCGTGGCAAAAACACACGATAAGGACCTTAGCGACAGATATTCGTGGAGACGGAGGCTTCAGTGGGGGGAAGAGAAATACCACGGAACCCTCCCGGGACACGAAATATAGGAGATAAGAGTGTTATCTCAAGAAAATCACGGGAGCGGAGGCTTGGTCCCCCAGAGACTGTTATATGTGAAGGGACTGTGAAAACTGACTATAACAGCTGCTGTAATGTCCTAGATCTTAATTAACACCGTTATTATTTAATATTTCAGAGCATGAGTAGATAGAAAAAGGAAAGGGTCAATCCATCTCCAATGGATTTAATATAAAACTGTCACACAAAAACATATAAAAATAGGTTGTTCGAGCCGTGTTTTTAATGACAATCACGTAGTCTGAGGATCCGAGACTCAGCTATGTGGTTGTGTTCGCATGCAAACGAAAGCTGATCAAAAGTCGTTTGACTGATGGCCTAAAAATGGTAACTTTTTACTTTGCCCTAAACAGACCAGAAAATCAACTGGCAAGGTCGAGACGGTGAAAAACGAGTGGAATTAAGGTAACTGACGCCTGCCAGTCGTTGATAGGTACTTTTTCTACGCTCCGTCGCTGTGTGATATTTGGGCGAATGTTACATTATTGATGCGTATACGTCATCGGATATTTTTCCGCATCTTAGATGATACCAGTTTCGGCAACTCTCGCATTCAACCCCCTTTGATCTATATGTGACTTTCCTGCTGCAACATGGGCACAAGCCGTTTTTGTCATTAATTTGCTGTACCCCCGTTCCCACCGGTATTTGTTGTCGTAGAGCAAATTCGTATTCTTTCAGCCATAAGTTTGCCAGAATTACAGCGAGGGACGCGCCCATTGCTAAACCATCAACTTGTACATACCATGAATCATTACACTTGAAATATACTTTGCTGACCGCCATATTCAAAAGCCTTTTCATGGTTGCTCTTTGAATTTCAGGAGGAGACTCCTGGCTGTACAGCTTCTGTAAAGCAATTTCAATTGCCTCCTTCAGGGGAACGTTGGTGTACAAACTTTTCACATCAAGAGATATTATGGTTTCATCCGGATCTAGAGCAATGTTTTCTATTTTTTCTCTAGCCTCTTTAGTATTGGTTTATATATTTGCTCCATCGATGTTGTCAAAAAACTTTGCAAGCATTTTGTTAAGATTCTCATACGAGCTGCCGGGAAGTGATAGTACAGGTCGTAGGGGTTTAATGTTAGTCAGTTTTAATAACAAGAACAAGTTTTTACTCTAGACTGTAAGTTCTCGTGAACCATTGGGACACTCTAGCTGTCCACCTTTCCACCGAAGGTTCACTCTGGTCCAGTTAATAATAGTACTCCAGTCACAACAATCCAGTTCGTGGGAATGCGCTCGTCTCTGTTTCAGATGGGACAGCTCTACTCTCGATTATTATTGCTACTGAAATTGCGAATAGCAATTTCCCACTGATTTTTCTAGCAACTTTCCCGCGATTGTCACTCGATCGTTCTGACTTCTCTTTTCTGATTTTCAGTTATCGCGAGAAAATCGTGCATGACAGGTTCCATTCGAAATTTTGAAAAATTAAATTTCACTCCAAAATCAAGTGTTTTTTGCTTCTCTCAAGGTCAAACTTCCGAATATGACTGACTGGCACAATACTTTGTATAAGGGGGTGCAGATCGCTACGCAAAGTTCAATTTATCGACAACTCCATAAGCGCTATTGTAGAGGAAGGACGGCTAAGATAAATGAAAATTATGACGATGCATTTAATGCTGATTTATGACTTCATTGCTGATATATATGCATTTTTATATCGCTGGTATGGCCCTATCCAGCTTGTGCACTTACCGTAACTAAATGGAAGGGCCCCTTTTGTAATTTAGTTTTTTAACTAGGGGTGTGTTGTCGTCCGCAATCGTTGTGATAGTGGTGTTTTCTTGAAACTCTATTGGGATACTTATGTCATTGCATGCGGAATTATGCAAGAACGGTGCGCCGATAGTTCCTTGGGGCACTCCTTGGTTGGTACATGGCTGGGTCGATTTGTCATTGTTGAGTGTAGTGTAGTGGGCTCTTTTTTGATGAAATCCACGTACCAGTTTGTTATATAGGGGTTCAAATTAGATTGCAGAGCGCACAGACCGCACAGAATTTAGAGCGCACAGACCGCTCTGCTGTGTCGCAGAGCGCACAGAACTTAAAATAATATCAGAGCTTCTATTAAACAAATTCTCCTCTTCTGTTATCGTTTGTCTTCATTTTCAGATCAGTGAAGTAGCTGGTGTATACAAATGGTTGTCTTCGCCAATTCTCCGACCTAGCTAAAGCCGTTGGCTTTTTTGTTGTCTATGGGGATGTAAAAATGGGATTTTTTCACCAATTGAAGTTGCTGCTATGGAAAAATTACACTGTGAAAAGGCGCCACCCAGTAAGAAATGTTATTATAGCTTAAATTGTGGGAGCTGTTGCTTATTAGAGGATATACTGGGCTGAATATGTAATATATAAGAAATTAAATCATCAGGAAATGGTGTGTGGAACAGCATTTTTATAATAGAACAAGATCAGATGTTGTTTTTCGCTATTTTTTTCTGTGAATCAAAGCAAACTTCGTGAACTCCGGAAATCATTTGATTATCCGATGAATACCTTTTGAACCTCTCTTCTCTGAAGTCTTTATGTCTCCTCAATCAAAATAAAACCCCTTTTGCGCCGTAAAATTTTCTATTTTAATTATTTACATCATTTACAGCTCGTTTTGTTGGCCGAACTGACTATACCTCTTGTCATCTTCTTCGTTTTGGTTGGGATCAGACTGAGAGAGGAGCCGAGGCACTACAGGTCATTAAACACATACAAGCAGCCTCTCCCATCGGCCGGTCTGCTACCGTTTCTAAACAAATTCTGCCCAGGCGGAGAGACAAACAGAGTCTCAATGTTTGCCGATCTAATAGGTGTCCTGTCATCATTGCATGCCAATAATTCACTTTTGGTAGAACAGAGTTCTCAAGAGAAGTCAGAATTGGACGGACAAAAGGAGACCTCGATCAATGGTTCGAGCGTTGGAAGAGAAAAAGATGCATTTCTCTGGGTACAGGATCCAGTCGGCGACCTGGAGCTGTTTAATTCAAGTATGTTACCCTGTTATTACACTGGCGTAATGTAATAGTACGACTATTCTTTTTTCAAGCTAAGTCGCAAATATTGGTGCCACTTTTGGGGCACCTTTACAGCTTGATAGCATTTGCTTTCAAATCCGATTGGTAATAAGTTAACTCAATTGATGCATTTTTTATTCATCCAATGAACTGAAAAAATCTTATTTCTTGCGAAAATGTTAAAACAATACAAACTCGATTGCAGAATTTTCCCGACTCAATATATCTCGCAATATTTTTGGAATGCATAATTTGGCTTTCTGCTTCCAATTTATTACATGCGAAGGAGGTATGGATGCCTTTAGTTTGTTATATCTATTATATATTTAAATGCGGGCTTGACTATCTCGGCATTTTTAAAGTTTTTTCAACGTATTATTTTGTAGTTTTCGAGATATGACGTTTTTTGTGATTTTTTTTCAAAAGTTTTCAAAATTTGAAAGTGCCAACCCAATATTTGGCGGCTATAGAGTACTCTCAGGGGTTTTAAATCTTCCCACAAATGTGACTGCTCAAATCCTTGTAGTTTTCGAGATATGAATTTTTGTGTGATTTTTTAAAAAAAAATTCAGAAATGTTAGTTTATTTTTTTCAGAATTTGAAAGTCTCGACCTTGTAGTTGGCGGGTATAGAGTACTCTCAGGGATTGCGAATCTTGCTTCCAATTATGACTGCTCAAATCCTTGTAATTTTCGAGATATGACGTTTTGTGTGATTTTTTAAAAAAAGTTTCAGAAATTTTAGATTAATTTTTTTTTTTCAGAATTTGAAAGTCTCGACCCTGTAGTTGGCGGGTATAGAGTACTCTCAGGGGTGGTGAATCTTACCTCCAAATATGACTGCTCAAACCCTTGTAGTTTTCGAGATATGAAGTTTTGTGTGATTTTTTAAAAAAATTTCAGAAATTATAGTTTTTTTTTTCTTCAGAATTTGAAATTCTCAACTTTGTAATTGGGTACTGTAAGGGTACTCTCAGGAAATTCATGTTGCAAGTTTTGCGTGCAAATGCGACTGCTCAAATGCTTTTAGTTTCTGAGATGTGACGTTTGTAATGTTTTTTTTTAATGTTCAAAGAAATTAGATATAAAAAATTTGAACTTTCCATCGCTATAGTGAGGCTTTGTCAGGTTAATCCTAGGGTTTGCGAGTTTTTGCTTCAAATATAACTGCCTAAATCCACGTAGTTTTTGAGATATGACGTTTTTTATAATTTTTTCAATAAAATTTTTAGAAAACCTAAATTTGATTTTTTTTTTCTTCAAAATTTGGAATTTCTAACCCTGAAGTTGGGGGGTTTTAGAGTACTCTCAGCGGTTGCGAATCTTGCCTTCAAATATGAGTGCTCTTTTTTTGCGATGGCACTTTTCTTGGATTTGAAGTTCACAACCCTTGCGTCCAAATGCGACTGCTCAATTACTTTTAGTTCCCGAAAAAATGACGTCAGAAATTGACATTTTTGTCATTTTAAAAAATTTCAACGAACTTAGATATGAAAAAAATGGCAAAATTGTATGGTTTTTTCAAAATTTGAATTAAAATAAACTTGAATAACAAAAGAGTACTCTATTGATATTACCATCCCTGTAATCGGGTGCTGTCAGAGTACACTCAAAGGATGCAAATATTTTCCAATATATGCGGTTTTTTTGAATTGTCATAAATTCGAAGCACTGGAAGTGCGCTACGCTAGTTCCAATTTTTTACTTGCAAATTTGTGTCTATTTGTATTTGGTGCCAGTTTAGCTGCATCGCATTGGCAAATTATTCGCATGTGTAGCTGCTTTATTTGTGGCTATTGTTAGTAAATTGTCAATGACTGGTTTCGCAGATGCTAGGGCAAGAGACACTAAATCTCCTGGTCGTAGGATTGATTTCGCGCAGCAAACGTTTGTTTTCAAGGCATATTTTGAGCTTTTTTTATTTCACTTTTTAGAGTTACTTTTTTCTCGCTTGTGTTTGCAAAGCACAGCTTCGCCTTAGTTTTTTACTTAATATGTAAGTAAAAATGACATGTCTTAGCGTAGGGACAACACCAATTAAGATGTAAGCTCTAAATTTTTGGTTAAAGTGCTAACGCGACCACTCGGTTTTGAAAAATTATCTCCGAGAAATCTGCCTGATGTTGCAGAAAAGTCCAACAAGTTCTGCTCAATTTGAATTAATTGAGAGTCAACGAATCAAATTGTTGTCAAATGTTAAATTCATAGGTTTTGTTTTACCTGTTTATACTAGCGATCACCTTAGTGTGTTATTACAAACCTTCTTTTTTTTTCTAACCTAACTCGCAAGTAAAAGTTTTCATTAAAAGCGTTCACTTATTTGGAAATATAACTGTAGAATTTGAAATTGACTATCATCTGTTCTCTGCTTAATTCGTGGCTATTGTTTCGATCTTATTAAGCTTCCGTGGCCGAGTCTTTGAGACTATTAATCTCTAGGTCGCAGGTTCGAATCTCAAACATAGCAGAATTTTTGCTAATGCGAGGCTTTTTTCTACCTTTTCTTATTGCACTTTATAGGGCTGCTTTTTGTCCTGCTCTCGCTAGTGTTTTAGACTCGCAAGTGTAGTATTATTTGGTCAGTCAACTTTTGCAAAACCTTATTCTTTGTAAAACCAAATTGTATAAAATGTTCTGTTTTTTGACCGAGTGAGGTGGCCTAGAACTATGGTGTAGGGTGTTTTTCGGTTAATTTGACTATCTCACCTCAAAGAAATTTCGTTTGGTGAGAAATGCCAAGTTAAGATTAAAACCCTTTATGTCGTAATTCTGATCCCAAAGAGAAATTTTAAAAAATGAGAATTGAGATAAACTATTTTTTTTTGGATTAAAGCCCTTTGTGTCGTAATTCTGATTCCAAAGAGAAATTATAAAAAAAAAGAATCGAGAAAAACTAGTTTTTTTGGTAGTCACACTTAGCGAAGTGGATAATTTAGTTTTCAACGATGAAATATTACATTAAATTAGCTAATTATTATGTTTGAAAATATTAATTAATTTTTTTATTTGTTGTTCACAGAAAGTGGTCATGATGAAGGCAGTGTATCAGAATCCAGAATTGTGATAGTAACCTTTTTCATTGTATTCCAGCGTTTACCTGATGCTCAGAAAGTTGTTGTTCTTTATTTTCTGTTACTAGTTTATATCTGTCAATAACGTCGGTTATTAATTGCTATATTAGTTCTATCGTTTTGATAGCTATCTTGAATGTTTTAGATGAATTGTGGAGTACAAATCTGACGTTCGGGGATGTTCTTCTCGAGCACAGAATGGATTCCTTCAGAAACTTCACAAAATCACACTTTGGGAATTCGACAGACATTGCTCAGACGGTCCTTTCACAGAATTTTACATTCAAAACTGTAAGATTTCGATTGTTACACTTGCGAGAGCAAGTTTCTTGTAATCGGGAAGTCTTTTTTTTGCGCAAGCATTTTTTCATTTACGTCTGTTAAAAGTTGAACTTGCTTCATTACTGAAACTTTACAACTTCCAGGCTCCGTATCACTTGGTCTAGAGGTAACGCGGTTGCCTTTGCACCCAAAGGTCAGGGTTTGAGTCCCGGTCGGTGCTTGTTTTCCACAGAATGACTTAATTGAAAATTTCTGCCGGAAAAAACTGAATTGTCGGACTTTCTTAAATATGGATATTTTTTGTCGGTTTAATTTTCAAAGCATAGTTTTTTTCGATTAACATAGTTTTGAATATAATTGACAGTCGTCCTGTTATTCAATTTACTATTTCTGATTGCGAATATTTTTTCTAATTCCTGCTTGTTAACAACAGGTAGTATTACACTTGCGATTAGCTTAGTGTATTATTACGAACCTTCTTTTTTTCTAACCTAACTCGCAAACAAAAGTGTGCTTTTAATTGAAAATTTCACTGCACTGTAGCTTCTGGGAATTGCATAGCATCGGTTCTCTGCTTTATATGTGGCTAGTGTTTGGTGCATATGAAGCTTCTGTTTCTGAGTGGTTCGTGTGTGAGACTCTTAATCTCTAGAACGTAGGTTCGAATATCAGACGTGACCAATTTTTGTTGACTATTTCGAGGCTTATTTATAATTTTTCTTATTGTACTTTAAAGAGCTGCTTTTTGTTGTGTTCTCGCTAGTGTTTGCGGAGCGAAGCTTCGCCTCTGCGTGAAAATGCATGGGATTGGGTTTTTGTATTTTTATTGTTCTCAAAAACTAACTTACCGATTTTCAAAAAAGCTGTACCAATGGGAATTACGCCTACTACCCGGAGTGGCTGCATAAATACCTAGCCGCTTTTTACCTTAAAATACTTTCTACAGCCTTTGAAAAAGCGTGTGGGTGCAATTTTTGACCCATATTTATGGATTTTTTTTCCAATTTCTCAAAAACGACCCTCCAGGAGGTTTTAATTTCAGTCCAAAGCACTGGTTGTGGGGAAATCCCCTTAAATAAGCAGTTTAGCCCAAACTTTTCTCTACAAATGACCCTCGGAAAATTCAGTCTTTTGATTTATTGACAGTTTTTGGAACTTTTTGACTTTTCTCAAAAACTGCCGTCCCAAATCTGATATTTGGAGTTAAATTGATATAATGGTATGTAGGAAGCTCCGTTGTATGAGCGGTTCCGCACAATTTTTTTTTCTAAAAATTGACGCTCTCGAAAAAACAAATTATGAGATAATTTGACCGTTTTTGTAATTTTGACTTATCTCTAAAACTTCCATTCAAAATCTGAGGTTTTCGGTTCAATCAAAAGAAAGCGTTGTGCGAAGCTATCTATCTGTGTAAGTGCTCACGTCTAAATTATCTAATAAAAATTTTTTTTTGACTTTTCGAAAACAACTCAATCAGATATCTAGGGTTTACTCGAGGCAACAGGTTGTGGGAAGCCTCCGTGCATAAGATGCTACGCCCTAAATTTTGATCAAAAAAGTTATGTCTCTGGAAACTTACAAAATAAATAGAGCATTAATTAGATTTATGGTGAAGCCCAATTTTTAAATTTGTGAAATTATCTATCACATGCCGCAACAAAATCAAAATCTATCAAACAGGTGCCTCCAGCTTTAGCTGGGCCTCTAGTTTGACTTCTGCTAGAAACGTAATCTGGGTTTGAAATTGGAAGATCTGTTTGTATAATACTCAGATCAAAAATGAGTGTGGGGTGGAAAGTAAAAGGCGAAATTTTTGTTGAGATTGACAAAAATTAATATGCACAGAAAAATGAATAGGGTTAGTTCGCGATCATATACGTGATTTTCCTCTTTTTTAGCTGTATGATATGTACAGAGCACCAGATGCAATTGACGGAAGATCCAAGAGTGACGTTGGATTTGGGGCTATTTTGGCAGCTAAATTTATCCCTCAACTCGTGTAAGTATCCTTGTTATCAGTGTTTGAAGGTTAATGAACGAAGTGCGTTTTCACTTACTGTTCCGACCGTTGAAAATGGGGAGAAACTTTGTAGTCGGATGTGTTTTTGTTTCTTTTTTCACGCAAAATTAGGAACCACGAATAATCATCGGAATAGGTCGAGTAATTTATCATATTAAAGCTCTTTCAATCGTAATTCGAACAATATTCCGAAAAGTTGTTCCAGTGTCGAGAAAAACTGGGTAAAAAATTTTGAGATTTAGCCTAATTTCGAGCTAGTAACGCGATTTAGTAATGTTCGTTATGTAAAAATTGATGGAAATTGAACAATTAAACTTCAAAAAAAAACTTGATTTTACTAAAAGTAAAACTTGTTGTGGAAGTTTTTTTTAGCACTTTAACATCGTGCAAGTTAAAAAGCAAAAATGGAAAAAAAACTCTTTCTTGGAATTGTTTTATGATTTTGGTCAGAACATTCTGTGCTATATGCACAGCAAACTTTTTTGGTAAGGCTTGAAATTTGTTCACCCTCAAATTTTAGTCTTAGCGTCTGAAACTTTAGTTTTTCAAATTTTTTTGCGCTTGAAGTTTTGAAGACTCGTAGTGATGATTGCTTTTTTTTGAGGAAAAATCTTAAAATTTGTTCACTCTCAAGTTGTCTTTTTTTCGCGGTTTGATTTTTGTTTTCCTTTAAAGTTTAGTTCGTTTCCTTTGTTAAAAGGAAGGCAAACTTCACTATCGAACATCAAAGGTGTATGTAAAGGTCACGAAAAACGTGATTGATATCTAACTTTGAAAGTGAATTGGTTTTTCAGCTTTTCCAGCGGGCATAAAAATCTTTACCCATTGATTCAGTTTTCTTAAACTGAGTTATTTGCATCAATAAAGCGTCAATCAAAAGTTGTTCTTAATATTCAAAGGTTTTTCTGGCCATATATTTTTTATTTTGAATATTGAAAGTTAAAGTTTAAAAAAAAACAAGAAATTCCCTACGTTAACAGTTTCCCTGCGTCAATTGATTTTCCAACTGACTGTTGCATAAGTTTTTTTGTTGCAGTTTTTGACAATTTTATTGCTTGTATTTTCTTTCAGAACAAAAACAATTATTGGTTTCTCTTAAACTGATTTGATTCATTCATATACAGCAATTCGTTAGATAATAAAAGGTTATTCAGTTTTGTTGTAATTGGATTGAATTTTTTAACCTAAAATTGTAGAAACTCGCATGATTTTTAATGAGTGGCCTGAAAATTACGTTTTGATTAGCTATTTTTCTCCGTTTTTTTGTTCTCGAGTTGTTATTATAATTTTCAAAAAGGCTTAAAACTTGTTTACCCTCAAAATAAGAGTCGATGAAGGTAGTTCAGACTCTTACAAAGGTCTTGATGACTTTTTCAGGAAAAGTTTTAAAAAAATTTCTGGCTCAAATTAACTTTTTAGCGGTTCAAGTTTTGATTTTTTCTAAGTTTACATTTTTTCTTTTGTTAAAAGATAGGCAAATTCTCTATCGAACAGCAAAAATGTAAAGCTCGCGAAATGCATGAGCGGCTTTTAAATTTGCAAATTGAATTTAATCAGGTTTCCCTGTGAAATAAAAGTTATACTGATTGATCCAGTTTTCCCTAATTGGGTTAATTTTAACAAAGCACAACTGATAAATTTTATGAAATTCAAAGAACTTTACGGGCATATTTTTCTTTGAAGTACGAAAGTTGAAGTGTTTTCAAAAGAAAAATCAGTTTTTTACTGTTTCCTTACATGCAATGTTCTTTTCCAACTGTCAGTTGGCTATGTTTACACTACGTAAGCCTAGTGTTTTGTTACGAACCTTCTTTTTTCTAACCTAACTCGCAAATGAAAGTGTTCACTTATTTACAAATTGCACTGTAGCATTGGAAATAGCATAGCATATATTCTCTGCTTAATTTGTGACTAGTGGTTGACTAGTTTGGGAATGAGACGCTTAATCTCTTGGTCGCAGGTTCGAATCTCAGACGTAGAGGAAAATTTTGCTAGTTCGAGGCTTATTTCTACTTTTCTTATTTCACTTCATAGAGCTGCTTTTTCTCTTGTTCTCACTAGTGTTTGCGGAGCAAAGCTTCGCCTCCGTGTTAAAAGGAAGGTAAACTCCACCTATCAAACAATAAAGTGCAAAGATAACGAAAAACGTGATCAACTTCTAATTTCGAAAGTGTTTTTTTTTTTCAAATTTCTCAGCGGATTGAAAAGTTAAGGCATTTATCCAGTTTTCAAGAGTAATGAACGTGGTGAGTACTCTTATATAGGTCTTGGTGATTTTTTTCTTAGAAAAAGTCTTAAAATTTGTTCACGCTCAATTTTGATTTTTCGCGGTTTGAATTGCGGTTTCTTTTTAAGTTCAGTGCATTTCCATTGTTAAAAGGAAGGCAAATTCCTTTATCGAACAGCAAAAGTGTATAAGTCTCGAAAAACGTGATCGACTTCTAATTTCGAAAGTGGAAATTAAATATCAGATTTCCCAGCGAAGTAAAAGTTTTACTTATTGATCTATTTTTCTCAAATTGGGGTAATTTTAACAAAAAAGTGAAAATTATAAATTGTTCTAAAAATTCAAAGAGCTTTAAACCCATCTATTTTTTTCGAAGTTCAAAAATGAAGTTTTTTGAAAAAACGAGTCAGTTTTTTTCAGTTTCCTTGCGTTCATTACACTTCCAAATTTCAGTTGGCTACCTTCTTAAATTGATATAATTTTATCAAAACTGTCAATCGAAATTTTTTCATCGCCTTATGAAAAAGGCCATAATTTTTTTACTATTCAAAAGTTATGTGGAAGTTTTTTCAAAAGTTGAAGTGGTTATTTTTTCATTGATGCTTTTCCAATTGTGTCGGCTATGTTTTTTTTTGTATTCCAATGAATTTTTAGAGCTCTCATTTTTGCCGATTTCGTTGAATTGTAATTGCAGCTTCACTTGTGTAATCTTAATGCTCATATTCTTTGCAAATAAATGTCCATTTCTGAAATAAATATCTTCTGGATTTGCCTTTTGGTCTAAATTTTGAAAAAATATTTCTTAATTGTCCCCGTCACTTTTTGGTACTATCCCGTTGTTGTCTAATTGACTTAAACTTTTTAAAATTAGATATTACCAAATTTTGAGTATGAATGAGGTTAATTAAGTTACTTTTTCTTCAAAAAGGTGAGGTTTTTTTTCAACTTGGTGAAAGCACTTACTGATACAGGTTGTGATTTTTTTTTGGAAAAATCTTAAAATTTGATTTAGGTAAAATTGTTTTGCAGCTTGATTTTTGATTTCTTCAATTCAACTCAGTTGGGCTAGTTTAGTAAAAACAGTGTTGATCATATAATGTTCTTTAAATTTCTAGAACTTCAACGTGATGCATTTGTTTTCTTCCAACGTTTCATTCTAAAACAACCTTTTTCCTCGAATATGAGTTAAAGACTAAGCAAGTCTATATTTCTCGGAGGAAGTAATTGCCAGTTCGGAATAGATCTGATTTGTGTTTAGGAAAATGGGAATCGGAGAAGGCTCCATTTCTTCTGCTTCCGAAGTCTCTCAAACTTTCGATGAGCTGGCTGAAATTCTGTCGTTTACTTTCGCTGAACGGGCAAAACCAGTGGACGATCGGAACCAATGGAAGATGAAATTCATTACATCGCAATTATGCCCCGTGATCCTTTCGTCTTTCTGGGCGTCTTTAAAGTCAGTCTCTGCTGATCAGTACAAGACGTTGATGGAGAAACTGCTTTGTGAAGATGACCGACAAGCCGAGAGTGATTTAGCGCTCATAATTCTCTCCAGCATAAATGCGACAAAGGAAAGCAGCTCAGTTTTAAGGAGCGAATAGTTCTCATTTTGCAGCGTTTTTGAATAAGCCTAAATCTGAACGAAATTATTTTTTTTTCAAATTAGTGTCGTTTGTTCTGTGGTGTAGTAAAAGTTAGTAATTGGAAATTAGGCATATTCAACACGCATAGTTGAAAATGCCAATGGGAAAACAGTTTTTGCACAAAAAGCCTTAAAAAAAAGTAGTACATTTTTTGCAGAATTTTTGAAAAGTTTGATTCCCAAAATGGCGCCAAAACCCCAAAAACTAACCTTGCTCCAGTAAAGTTAAATTTTCACGGATTTAATCAAGCTGAAATGACCTTATTAGCTGGAATTCAGACCAAAAATCAAAAATTTCAAACCAGTTTTTCTCGACACTGGGAATTTTTAAGTGTGATTCGAATCACTACTAAAAGGGCTTTAATATGATATAGCACTCAACCCAGTCTGATTACTTTTTGTGCTACTTAATTTTTTTTTGGGGGGGGGAATAAAAAGAAAAAAACTAAAACGCACCTGAATACAAAATTCCTCCCCATTTTCAATAGTCGGAACCAAAATTAATTTTTTATCCATATTTTAGCAGCTTTTTAAATCAGATTTGATCATAAAATAGGTCAATTTCAGCAATCATTTGTGCTTAAAACTGAGTTCTGTGTAAATTGAAGACGATGCGCAGTGCATACAGAAATGTAGGCAGGAGTTTCAGTCAGTCCAGAATGGATCTCTACTCAACATTCAGCAGTGACCTGGAAAACATCTACAATTTGGCTGATTACCTTTTAATGCATTCCAGTAAGTAATATTCAATATTTGGGACCTCGTCAACTTCCGATCCCTTCTCATTGCAAAGGGAGGTAGAAATTTTTCATTAAAAAATTATATGCGCCGGTTTAATTGTTCCTATTTTTTCAAGGATTTTAGAAAATTGAGGCTCCAGATTCTTGTTCTTAAATACGTACATTTTTAAAAACTAAAACAAAAAAAATGAATTGCTCAATGAATAATGAGCCTATGCTAAAAGTTGAATGATTTTTTTTGTTGATTTTGAAGTCCTCAATTTTATGAAGACATCCTAATAACAATCTGGGCCACTTGCGGTGCTATTGGAGACTCCGCTATATTTTTAAAAACTACTTAACAGTAAAAGAAAGTGATATTTATAAACCAGTTCCTTAATAGTTTTTTTTTCAATAAACCAGAGGAAAATCTAAAGCAGGTAGATGCGTAAGCTGTTAATTCAATGGTCAAGAAACTTATATGGGTCGTGCTGATTTTCAAAAAAATATCGAAATTTTTGTCGACCTTTTTTAAGCGTAATGAACGTAGTGGTTACTCTCATTAAGGTCTTTGTGATTTTTTGTTTTTAGGATAAAGTCTTTAAAAAATTTTCATGCTCAGTTTTGGTTTTTGCGGTTTGACTTATGATTTCTTTTTAAGTTCGTTTCATTTCCTTTGTGTAAAGGAAGGCAAACTCCACTATCGAACAGAGAAAGTGTAAAGGCCACGAGAAACGTGATCGGCTGCTAGGTGTGAAAGTGGAATTTAATTATCAGATGACGCAGCAGTATTAAATTTTTACCTATTGATCCAGTTTTCTCAAAAACTAGTGTTTTTTTTTGTTTCCTTGCGTTTATTACTAATGTAAATTGGCTGTTATTTTTTGGGTCTTTAATTAGCCCCGGTCCTGCTCAATGCCAGCTAATTGATTTTCTGAGCTCTCCCAAGGCACTATAAAGACCCTATTTCGACCAAAGTTTTTTGCGCCGCTGGCAAATTATTGATAAACAATCCAAAAAAGGATTTCGACCGAAAAAATGCGTTTTTTTTCGGCGTTGGTATTTATTGGCACCAAAGCCGCATTTAGAAAATCTTTCCGGGTCAGTCAGCCGAAAATGGATATCTCAAAATAGTACAACGGCACTTTGGATCGGTATTGGGTCGAATCCCTGAGATAATGAAGGGGTCCGCCACTCCTAAATCCGCTACTGGTTGCATTTACACTTGCGAAGCGAGTATATTAGTACGAACCTTGTTTTTTATCCAACGTAACTCTTTTAGGGCACCTTTACAGTTTTAAATGGCATGTGCTTTGGCATTCGAATAGTAATAAGTTAACACAGTTGATGCATTTTTAGTTCATCAAATGAACCGAAAAAGTGACTTCTTTGAAACAACATAATAATGAAAATGCATAATTTAAACATAATAAGGTTTTGTGCTTTGCAATTTGCTACATGCAAAGTTAGTGTGGATGCCTTCAGTTTGTTATATTACAAATTATTACTCTCAAAATTGAGTCTATTTGTATTTGGTGCCACTTTTACTGAATGGCTTTGGCAATTTATTAGCATATATAGCTGCTTTTTTCGTGACTTGTGTTTTCGGTTGTTAAGCTTGCATGGCTGAGTGGATAGTGTGTGAGACTCAAAATCTCTTGATTGCAGATTACCCATTTTATCCAGCATCAGAATAAAAAATTCCGCAAATATCAAACAGTAACTCCAGCTTTAGCTGGGATCTAGTTATCTTTAATCGAGACACAAATTTTTTGGTTCAACTAGTTTTTCTACATTTTCCGTTTTTTCGACTTTCATATTTTATTATGTTGGTGTTGTATCGCTCTGTTTCGCTTTTCTCCGGTAGTTGGTAATTTAGGCTTAAAAACCTTGATTTTACTAAACGAACTAAAATTTTTAATAAATGTTCACTTTTAACTTATTATCAATTTTTCGAATACAAATGTTTTCGTTTATGCCCACTTTACTAACTTTATACGCGTGTTATGTATAGCTCTTTTTTTACATCACACGCATAACTAATTCGATAAAAAAAATCTAGTTTTTATGAATGTGGTCGGAACGATATGTGTTTTTTTGAACGGCAACCGGCTGTCCGTGCTTATAATTATAATTATTCTTGAAATTCTCAATAGAATGACAAAAAAATATTAGTGATCCAGTTTTTACCAAGTGTCAATTTTTGTGTAAACAGTTGATCATAAGAATGTTTCCAATTCATTTTTTTCGGCTCATTGATTTTCTTTACACGAGCGTAGCCTAGTGTGAAAGTGCGATAACTTTTTTTTTCAATTTAAGTAGCAAAACAGGCTAATTTTGGTGGCACTTTTGAAGCGGTAGGTTGTATTAGCAGTTTAATGTCTAGTGCTTTGATATTTGATTTGTAATAAACTAACCCAAATGATGCTGTTTTAATACCTCAATTGAATCGAAAAAAAAGCTATTTGTTTCAGACAACAATATAATAATTAAAATCCCATTTCGAAAATTTTCCAATTTATACCCAATTTAGTTTAATACATAACAATTTGTCTTATGCAAAGTTAATGTGGTTGCCTTTAGTTTATTACATTCCAAATTACTACTTGCAAAATTTGAGTTTTGTGCGTTTTATAGAACCTGATCTTTGCCGCTTTCTCGCTCGTGCTTCCGAAGCTACAGCTTCGCCTCTGGTAAAATTTTTATATGGCACGCTTGTTGGAAGTCCTTCAATGTGTGCTTGGTTTTCTTCCAAACTACATTGATTCGATTTTGTTCACACTGTTTTCAAGATTTTGGTCATCAATTTTGGTTATCAGAAGGAAAAAGACTAAACTTTTGACCATCAGTTATTCCCAAATTAGGACAAATCAAAAAATTAAAATCAAACATCCATTGTTTTTCAAACTCATCTGTTTTGAGATTTGATTTTAAATTATTTTAAGAGTTTTTTAGGCAAACTACGTTTTTAAAAAAAGATGGAATCTGTCAAAGGTTTTATAAGAAAGAATTCTCTAAGAATGTTTTGTTATTCCCCTTGAAAGCTGTATAATTGTGTTGTGCGGAATGTATGGAGTATTCATTAGGTTTTCCTACGTTAATTTTTTTCTATCGAAAACGTTAATTACGTTTCTTTCAATTTCACAACGTTTCAATTTTTTTGCGATTGCATCGCACGTGTTCAAGAGTCGATGAACGCAGTTCAGACTCGTATAGTGGTCGTGATGATTTTTTTTTTGTTTTTTCAGAAAAAGTCTTAAAATTTGTTTTGGCTCAATTTTTTTCGTGGTTTGATTTTTTTAAGTTCAGTTCATTTCCTTTGTTAAATGGAAGGCAAGCTCCTTTATCGAACAGCAAAAGTGTAAAGATCAAGAAAGACGTCATCAAATTTTGCGCCAATGGAATTTAGTTCATAGATTTCCCAGTGAAACAAAAATTTCATCATTGATATAGTTTTCAAAGAGCTTTTCTTGAAATTCAAAAAGTTTTAAGGCCGTGTTTTGGAGATTTTTTCCAAAAAAAAATTTCTGTTGAGTTGCGTTCCTTGACCTGACCCTTTTCTAACAGTTTGTTGGCTATGTAAAGAGTCGATGAACGTAGAAAAGTCTCTTATAAAGACGATTTTTTCAGGAAAAACTTAAAGTGCACTAATATCAAATGTGCACATAAGGATGCCCTAAGGTATATGTGCAATTGTTGAGTTCAAGTCAAGTTTGCTAGAAGGTAGGCAAAATCAATCTGCAATCATAAAAGCTGAAATGGAGCAAAAAAAGTTTCGAAAGTGGATTTTTGGGTTCAATTTATCAAAAAATATGACGATTATAATTTGCTCTTGAAACTCAACGAGCTTTGAGGTCATGTTTTTTTTGGTTGAAAATCGAGAGGTGAAGTGTTTTTCACAAAAATGTCAATTGTTTTTTCTGTTGCTTTGCGTTCATTGACTCTTTTTCAACTGTCTGTTGGCTATATTTGAAATTACGGAAGTGTTGTTTTTGTTATTACAGTTTGCTTCGATGAAATTTACGAGAAAAAGCTCAGTTTTTGTGTAGTTATCATCTTACTGCTAATTTAAGAATAATAATAAAAAGAAACTCATTCAATATTATGTATACAGCATTACAGCAAGCATGAGTACAGGATAATTAATAAAAAATCACTCTTGGAGACTGTAGATAACGAGATTAGCTGATCTGCACAATGTCTGCTCTTTAAACAATCTTACCATTAGACTCAATTAATTGGGGAAAGTGAATGATACAGCTCCTCACTCCCCGTCTGTTCCTGCCTCTAGAACCCAGATATTTCCTTCGTTTTTCGGTTTCACGCACTGCGTTGACTAGCATGGTACCCATTTTGACTTGATTAAAAAGTAATTGGGCTTAACTCGGGAACCAAACCCGGGATACGGGCTCGGAGTCCCAGGTGTTTCCTGTCATAGAAAGTTAGGAAAATATAAACTTGTCTATTTCTAAATAATTCAATATAATTATTACGGAAACTATGTAAAACCTGGATAAAAGCGTTTTCTGATACTTTTAAAGGGTCACTGGGCAGCCAGCCGTTCGATTTCAGGGTGATTTAAACCAAATATAAAAGTTCTCTATAGTGTGTCTGATCTAAAATCAGACAAAAATATTGATGATGAATATGTTTTGACTTAATTTGAATTAATATATTCTTACAGGCAATTCCTCGAATGGCTCAGACATTGAGAGTGACGGTTCTAGGAGTGAAGAAAATAAAAAGAAACAGAGGGAAATCAGTCGAGAATCGAACCTGCTCAAATTCGTCCTCAACATTGCGGTCAGTAATTGTTTTTTTTTACACTTGCGAAGCGAGTGTATTAAAACGAGCCTTCTTTTTTTTTTCAACCTAAGTCGCAAATATTGGTGCCACGTTTGGGACGCCTTTACAGCTTTTTCATAGCATGTGCTTTGGCATTCAAATAGCCATAAGTTAACACAGTTGATGCATTTTTCATTCATCAAATGAACCGAAAAAAGTGATTTTTTCAAATTGCATGTAACAAATCGCAAAACATAAAGCCATTTTATGTACAAATTATGCATTTCGAAAAATTGCGAGTTAGAAAATTTCTGAAATGGAGTTTTCATTATTGTTATGCTGTTTGAAACAAATCACTTTTTTCGGTTCATTTGATGAATTAAAAATACATCAACTGTGTTAACTTATGGCTATTTGAATGCCAAAGCACATGCTATGAAAAAGCTGTAAAGGCGTCCCAAACGTGGCACCAATATTTGCGACTTAGGTTGAAAAAAAAGAAGTTAATGTGGATGCCTTCAGTTTGTTGTATTCCAAATTATTACTTGCCAAATTGAGTCTATTTGTATTTAGTGCCACTTCTGCTAAATAGAATTGGCAATTTATTAGCATATCTAGCTGCTTTTTTCGTGACTAGTGTTGTGATTGTTGTGATTTAACTTTGACTTTCAGCCTTCAATCTGCGGTCGAACTAGCGACGACTTCATGGACGAAGTGTTCCCGAATAAAGTGGACCGGGCATTTCTGCACCACTCGCTTGAGAAACTGGAGATGAATTACGAGATGATCAAATTCTCAGAGGCGGGAATCATGCTGCTGAGGAACAACCCACACATTCTGTTCGCTCCCAACACCTCAGCTAAAGTGCAGTCGGTGATTGCGAATGCAAACGAAAGCTTCGCAATTGTGGACACGATTACAAATTACGCGCAGCATTGGCTCGCCAATTCGGAGAGACTTCGAAGTTCCGTAATTCGGTCCAAGTCGTTTCAGTCTAGCTATATTTTCTCACAGTCAATTGCGAAGAAAGACGAACTCTGCGACCAGTTATTTTTCATGTCATCCTTTACATGTCTTTTGAGGAAAACCGGTCTCTCTGGAGGCAAAAAGACGACAGTAGTTGAAAAGAGTCAAATTCCGACATGGCTTGAAGAGTCAAAGAAAAAAGCGACTAATTTGTTTGAGATTTTGGAATTGAAACTAGACAGAATTGACGAAGCTGCAAATCGTTGGCTGTCTTTTTCTACCAATGTTTCGCTCAATGTTTGGAAAGGTTTCAAAACAGAATACGACGCGGAGTCCTATTTCAAAACTAAAGCGTACCACGAAAAAGTAGGAGTTTTGGCTATAGTTGCTTTCGAGACAGATGAAAAGGGGGACTTGGGCTCAAATGTGAGGTACAAAATAAGACAAAACAGTACACTTATTGCGAGTCCTACTCACGAGGAACTGCCTCCATTTTGGACCCCGACTATGAGACCAGACATGATAGCAGTGAGAAAATACTTCATAAACGGGTTTGTGATTATCCAGGACATAATTGAGAGATCAATTATGGAAGTGGTGACTAATAAGACAATCAGAGAACCAGGCTTGCATCTTGCTACCTTCCCAGTCCCCTGCAACACACGTGATCACTTTCTGTTCACAGTCAGTTATGTAATGCCTCTATGCATGACAGTTGCTTGGGCTTACTCTGTGGCCATGTTGGTGCAATATATAGTGTACGAAAAAGAACAGGGCCTGAAAGAAGTGACGCGTTTGATGGGCTTGTCAAATGCAGTTCATTGGGTCGCATGGTTTATAAGTGCATTTATCCAGATGCAAGTCATAGCAGTGCTAACGACTCTCATTCTGAAGTTGGGCAACGTGCTTCCACAGTCCAATTTCTTCCTTATATGGGCGTTTTTAACTCTGTATAATATCGCCAACATTATGTTTTCGTTTCTTGTCTCAGTTCTGTACAGTAAGGCCAAAGTAGCTGCAGCATGCGCGGGAATCATTTACTTTTTAACATATGTGCCATATTTGTACCTGTCAATCATGGAAGATTCCCATCTTCTAGGTCGAAAAGTGTCTCGCTACAGCAAGTATATGGCTTCCCTGTGCTCCACGACGGCATTTGGTCTAGGCGCCAAGTACTTTGCAGTTTACGAAGTGCAGGGCACGGGTGTTCAGTTGGAGAACTTGGGATTTAGCCCTTTTCAGAATGACACGTTCAATTTAGCTGATGTTGTCAAAATGATGATCATCGATTCTGTTTTATATGCCTTGCTGGCATGGTACATTGAAGCTGTTTTTCCTGGTAATTTTGGGCTCCCAAGGCCTGTTTATTTTCCCTTCACAAAATCCTACTGGTTTCCAAAGCGACGTAAAAGCTTAGGAACGTCCGAAGCGGCGATAAAAGACGGATATTTGGATAATAACCACGTTCCGGAGACCGATTTGGATGAAACAGAAAACAGAATTCTGGAAGAAGAACCAACAGATTTGCAGTTGGGAGTCTCAATCAAAAATTTAAGCAAATCGTTCAAGCTGAGCTTGAAACCAGCCGTGGACAATTTAAGTTTAAATTTGTACCAGAGTCAGATAACGGCTCTTTTGGGTCACAACGGTGCGGGTAAGACAACTACAATGAGTATTCTGACAGGCATGATTCCAGCATCTAGCGGAACTGCTTCTGTTTATGGAAATAATATCCAAGACGGAATGGACCTGATTCGCAAGAGTTTGGGGATGTGCCCACAGCACAACGTCCTCTTTGAATCTCTGACTGTCGAGGAGCATCTTTGGTTCTACGCTTCACTCAAAGGAATGTCCAACAATGATATCTATTACGCAGTCAATACATTGTTGCGTGACATTGGAATGGAGTTGAAACGAGTCGACCTGGTTGACTCTTTGTCGGGAGGCATGAAACGAAAATTGTCGGTTGCAATCGCGTTCATTGGAAATGCTAAGTTGGTGATTCTGGACGAACCAACCGCGGGCGTAGATCCATATGCGAGACGGGCAATTTGGGATTTAATTTTGAAGTTCAAGAAAGGTCGGACCATTTTGCTTTCAACACATTTTATGGAGGAGGCGGATTTTTTGGCCGACCGAATTGCTATCATGTCGTCTGGAAAGCTTAGGTGCTGCGGATCTTCAATGTATTTGAAGTGCAACTATGGTAGTGGATATCATTTGACATTGGTTAAAGATCGTCAACGTGTGACGAAGGAGCACACGCCTTTAGCTTCCCAACGTCAGATTTCGACGATCAGTGAATCGAACTACACAATTGATTCAGACCTTAATGGCAACAGTGCTAGCGGGGATTCTTCAATTTGTTCATCCACGTTATCTGGATCTATTGTCGCTTTCATTGCGAAATTCATTCAAGGTGTTTATCTAGACTGGGAAAGCAGCCGCGAGATATCGTTCACGCTACCATACGCTCAAAGAAGTAAGTTTTCGCAGCTTCTTGAAGCACTGCAGCAATCAACTAGTCAGCTTGGAATCTTGAGTTTCGGAGTCCGGGATACCTCACTGGAAGAGGTTTTCATTAAGGCTATTTGCGACAGTCAAGCTACGATAAATAGTAGTAAAGAAGAACGTTACAAGCAAATATTTAATTGGTTCCACAGAAGAACAGCAAAATTAACTAGTCCGATAACGTCAACAGCAACGAGTCCTGTTGATTCTAGTAAAACAGCGCCTGAAACAAATAATGGACATCTGACGACACCTAAGAAAAAAATAGCAATTTTTGTTACAACTCCTGACAGTCAGGCTGAAAGCTCTTTAAATGGAACTGTAAATGATGAAGTGTGCGGAGAAACGCCAAACAAAGAGCTAAGAAGGGGAAACTCGTTCACTGAATTGTGTCACAAAGTGAAAGGATATCCATCATTGGGTATGTTTTCAAACGTAGCATTTTTACCTTAAAGAAAAGGTCCCACTGAGGTACTATATCACAGCAAGTTTTGGCCGACTAGCATTTGATTTTTCGAAAGGAGTCTTAAGTACCAATGTACTCTAATTTCTATGGGAGGTCTCCCGCGTTTTTTTTCATCAAAACTTTGAGAATGGTACAGAAACCACCTCTCTTTGTTTTAATGATAAAGTTTTTAAGTGATGAAGAGTTATTTAGCTGGAAAACAGCGAACTTATATTTTTTGAACTTTTTTGCAATTACCTTGTCCGAAAGCTATATTACGCCTTTTGATCTTGACGCTGGTTTCATTATTTTTCGAAATAAGTTTCCTGTTTGAATTTTTAAATAAGTTAATCAATTCACTATTACTGACTCAGCGTTGTGGTTATAGCTGACGAGAACTCGCGCAGTTCCGACTCCTCGGAACCCTGTGGCATCCACCCGATGCTAAGTGTGTCGTACCTCTACGCACGACAGCTGAAAGCACTACTACACAAACGCTTCATCTACGCACGTCGGAACCCAAAAGCCATTTTCACTCAAATTTTCCTCCCTTCGCTTTTTGTCAGCATTGCAATGACAGTCGCCTTTTACAGACCAACTTCAGGTAGCGATCCGCCGGTTTTAATGACCACCTCAAATTATCACAGATACACTGAGTGGGGCAAGAATATAATCCCAGTGTTTGTAAGAGAGTCTTCACCCGAAAGGCCAGCGCCTGAAGCTGTGAAAATCTTGGACTCCATATTGCAACCCGCAGGACTCGGCAGTAGCTGTTTGGTTCTAGAATCGTCCGCAAATATATCCATGCAAGAACTGTTGCCTCCAAAGTATCCAAGAAATGAAACATTCATTGATTTTCTACCAAGGTGTTGGAAGGTGCGTAAAAACGAGTTCAGGCTAAACAGGGGTTACGTGCCAATGAATATTCCGCAGACGTTTGAAACTTGGTACCCTCGGGAACGAGAACAGTTGCTAAATTTTATAGATTCGTCAATTGAACAATGCAAAGACATCGATAACTACAAATGCACTTGTATAGCTGATAACACCGGAATGGAATGTCACAGAGAATTCGTCCAAAAACCAGGAACAAGAAAACACGAAAAAAGTTCGGCTGGTTTTGTTAGCATGACGGGAGACGAAATAGTTTTCATTTCGACGCAAGATGAAAATGATTTCCTTCTGACGACATTTCATGACGCCCAGCTAAATAGATTTGGAGGCTATTCGATTGGACGTTCAAGAAATGACGTCAATCTAGAGTTTTCTAGAACATCGTCTGAAAACCTAAAAGCTTTAGTTAAACGAGAGGAACTGTACGTATACTATGATCTGAAGCCTAAACAAGCAGTGCCAACTTATATAAATGCAATAAACAATGCAATTTTGCGCGCAAATATTGACCCGGACATCCAAGGCAATCCGAATACTTTTGGGATAACATTGATTAACCATCCTTTGAACAATACGAGGCTTATGTCTTTGGAATACTTTGAGACGGGAACTGATGTGGTGATCGCGTTGTTTATAATCATAGCAATGTCCTTTGTTCCGGCTAGCTTTGTGGTTTTTCTGGTATCGGAAAGATACTCTAATGCCAAACATCTGCAAATGGTATCAGGAATGTCTCCTTTGATTTTCTGGATCTCGAATTATATTTGGGACATGCTCAACTATTTAGTGCCTGCATGTGCGTGCATTCTCATTCTTATTTGGTTCGATCTAGATGCGTACACGTCGAAAGAGAATTTGCCTGTGGTGATTCTTTTGTTTCTTCTCTTCGGATGGTCAATTACGCCTATGATGTACCCTCCATCATTCCTTTTCAGCGTCCCAAGTACAGCTTACATAGTCCTCATCGTCGGCAACTTATTCTTCGGCGTCACTGCAATCATGTCAGTGTTCCTACTGGACCGGTTTGTTCAAGAAGATGAGCTTCTCATGAACGTCAGATATGTCTTAGAGTACCTGTTTCTGTTGCTGCCAAATTATAACTTGGGAAGATGTTTAGCCAAACTGGCAATTAATGATGTGCAAAATAAATTCAATATTCAAATTGGTCAGAATCAAAGAATCATTTCATCGTTAGACTGGAAAGTTAGCGGACAAGCTCTAACTGCGATGGCTTTCGAAGGCATGGGATTTTTCATTTTGACCATTTTGATCCAGTACAGATTTTTTCTAAATAAAAAGCGGCTACCAGTCACTTCGGATCCGATTGAACACGAAGATGTTGATGTTGCAGCCGAGCGATCTCGGATCCTGTCACCGAACTACAAGTCCGAAAATGAAGACGAAGTTGTCTTTCAGAATCTATCTAAGGTCTACAAAAAGTCGACAACGAATGTACTGGCGGTTGATCGCATCTGCTTGGGGGTTCCACAAGGCGAATGTTTCGGACTCTTAGGAGTAAACGGAGCTGGGAAAACGAGTACTTTCGAAATGATAACGGGACACGCTTCGATTTCTGCAGGCGACGCAACCATTCACAACTACAGTGTCATGCATGACTTGAAGCAAGTTCACTCCGTGATCGGATATTGTCCGCAGTTCGACGCTCTTTTTGCAGAGTTAACGGTGAAAGAGCATTTGGATCTATACGCGGCCATCCGTGGACTTAGTTCGGAGAGGAAGCGGGAAGTGATTGACTGGGTTCTGGACACTATCAGTTTGAGAGATCACCAGTCTAAACAGACGCGCACTTTGTCAGGAGGTACGTATGCTGGGCAAGATTGAAAAGACATATATATCTATACATTATTTAATTGGCGTTTCTTTTGACACATGTTTAAGAAGTCCCTTTATTAAAGAGTTTTATGCTATAGCTACTTGCTTTAGCTACAGTCTATATTTACATAGCTATGCTGTGCAAATAAATTTAAATGCTACTGCTAATCTGCGGTTTTTCATCAACCATCGCTGTTATGCCTAATCGCTTTGTTTTTATTCAAGCATGCATGCTTGAAGTAATTGATGCGTTGCAATGTTTTGTTTCACTTCCTTATATATCATTTTTTAAAACTTAAATCCTGGCTATTTTGAGTATTTTTTGATGCTTGTAATACTTTTTGGATACTATACTCCGTTTTGGGCTATACTTTCCATTAACTCTTTTCTTGATTTGGGCTTCAGTTTTTGCTTCGGAAGCTGAAGCATCTCTTGAACTTGTTCACTGGTTACTGCTGCATGGGTTCAGTTGGCCGCCATCCTGATCCCTGGGTGTTATGCAGGCTAAAGAGACATGGCTCAGTCAATAGAAGCAGTAACCGTAAAGTGAACAAGTTCAAAAAAGGTAAATGAACCGGCTACGAGGGCCTACGACTAACTAGTTTTCGGGTGAATTTTTATTCGGCAGAGGAATTTTGGCGGAAAATAAATTATTGCCGCAGTTGCAATTATGTTTGCTTGACAGCGCTGTACCACAAAAGGATGTGTACTGTTACAGGTTGCCATTAGTAACCTTCTGTTTAAAGTGTTTGAATTAAATTCATAAATGCAATTTATTGTTTTACCCTTGCGATAGCAAGGGTATTGCAATCGGGTACTAGACTTCTTTCCCTTAAATGTCTTAAAGCACCGAATGGTCAGAATTACAAATGGTAAATTTAGGTTCAATTCTGAATTAGTTCTAACTTTTTTGTGTCTCCGGCACACTTGGTCTGGATGGAACGAATACGCCTGGGACGGCAAAAGTCCGGGGTTCGAAAATTTTGTAGAATTGTTGTTCTTAGTTTTTTTTACATAGTTGTTTTTAGTGTTTAAGAGCAATGAACGTACTGAAGACTCTTATATAGGAGAAAGTCTTAAAATAATGATGCACTTAGGTATAATGCACTTGAGTTCAATTGAATTTCATCTGCTGAAAGTGACGTAAGTAGCACTCTCCAAATACGATCGTGGAAATTGCGCGAAAAAACGTGAACGATTTCTAGTTTCCAAATGTGGAATTTGTTTTTAAGATTTGCCAGCGGAATAAAAACTTTACCTTTTGATCCAGTTTTCTCAAGTTGGGTTCATGTTATCAAAGAAGCGCATCATAAATTGTTCTACAAATTCAAAGAGCTTAAAGGGCATCTATTATTTTCTTTGGAAATCGAAAGTTGAGATTTTTTCAATAAAGTGTTTTTTTACCTCTGATGTTTGTACTCTTACTGCCCTTGACTTTTTGTTATCTTTGTTTTCGCCTAAAAACTTTATTCTGGCCAAATGATTTCGGCCAATTTTTTAGATCGCAGAAAATGCTAAAAATCTTAATAGGAAAATTTTTTTCCGCTTTGTGTTTTTTCTTTTCTTTGGTCGTTCGTCTTGATAGGTTATACCCTGTATTATATCGATTTAATGGTCATATTGCGTTTTGCGACAAACGAAAAAAGTTTGTATGTGCGTGTCTGGGTTGAGGGTGAGGGTGACTTATTAACTTGTCTTGTTGATTTTTTTTGTCCTAAAGGGTTGCTGCAATGTCTTTGTTACGGTTTGTAAATTTTCTTCCGCTGCTTAATTCGTATTCTTTTGTCTTGGCAAGTTTTTTTTAAAGCTAACTCAGTTTTTTTGATAGATCTCGTTTTTTCGACGTTTTTGATTTTTTTCTGACTTAGCGGTTTTCTTGTTTTGTATCGCAAGTGGTGCGACGCTCAGCTTCTCATCTGTGTCAATTTTCTATTCATCTAATTCCCCCCCCCAAATTTTTAATATCTTAAAGTGAGTGGTTGTTTTGTTGCATATTTAAGCCGCTTTAAGAATGTTTTCTCGCAACTTTGGTTCTTATTCTTATTTTCTTTCTCAATAAAACTTTTCAACCTATTTTTTTTTAAAACAATGAAGCGGTTCTTTTTTTTAATGATCTCGATTTGGTTCTTTAAAAAAGCCTTCCGAAGCGCACGTTTATTTGCTTTTTTCAAAACAGCAATTAATTTTTTTTTTTTTAAACTAAAAAGCTTCATTGGTTTGTCTTTTTAAACCCTCAAGCAGTGTTTCGAGTTAATTAATTCTTACCAAAGTTTTTCAAATCGCCTTTCTCCAGATTCAGCTATTTTTAACAAAAACATCCTTAATAGTTCAATTTAAGATCAAAACGTTTCCGCATTTATTTGCTTTTTTTTAAAGCCTAGCAGTGGTTTGTTCGTTTTTTTTTCATATAGCTTTGCCGTCATTTCTTCTTTAAAGAAAAAGGTTTTTCACTGATTTTTTAAACTTTTTTTTGAACTAACTGCTATGTAGTGATGTTTTCTTTTTCAATTTATGTAAATTTCAAAAAGTTAATTACTGCTTTGTTCCGTTTAAATCTTTTTAAGCGTTTTCAATTTTAATTTTAGAAACAGCTCGGTAGTGATTTATTGTTTTTGTTTTTTAATTTTGCAGTTTCAAGTTTTCAAAATTCAAGTTTTTTCCAAAGCATTCATTGGACGTATCTATATTGCTTTGTTTATTTGGCGTTTCACTTGACTCATGTTTATGAAGTCCCTATGTTGACATGCTTAAGCTTTTTCAACGTTTTATTTTTCGCATGTTTGACGAAAGAGTTTTTGCACGTTTAAGCTATATTGTAAATTGTAATGCTGAAGATTTTTACTTCACACATGTTTAGGAAGTCCCTCCGTTGGTCTGTTGAAAAACCATAACGTTGCAAGGGATGAAATGTTTACTCTATTCGGCGTTTTAAAATCTGTTCGAGCGCAAATGCGGATGCGCGAGTGCAACGTAAAACTATCAAATTTTTTTGTTTCACAATTTGTTCGTTCAAATATGAAATTTTCAACCCTATAGTGGGGTGCTGTCAGAGTACACTCAGGGGTTGCAAATCTGAGGTCCAAGTATGACTGCCTAAATTGTTTTGGTTATCGAGATCTGGAGTTTTTATATGATTTAAAAAAACTCAAATATAGAAAATACTAACCGAATTTGAGAATCTCAACCCTATAATGGGGTGCTGTCAGGGTACACTCAGGAGTTGCAAATCTGATGTACAAATAAGGTTGCTCAAATCTTTTCGGTTTTCGTGATATGCCCCTTTGTGATTTATTTTTTTTTAAAAAAAACGTAGATATAAAAAAATTAACGAATCTTGAAATTCTCAACCCTATTTTGAGGTGTTTTCAGGCCTCACTCAGGGGTTTCAATTTTTCTCTCCAAGTGTAGTTGCTCAAATGTTTTTTGATTATCGAGATGTGGCCCTTCTCATGATTTTTTCAATACTTTTTCAAAAAAACTTTAAACAACTAATAGAAATTGAAATTCTCAACCCTAGTGGGATGCTGTCAGGGTACAATATATGGAAGCAAGTTTACCATTTTGATGTATCTGCTCAAATCATTTTGGTTTTCGAGATATTGCGTTTTCTATGAAATAGGAACTTTTGATATTGCTGTTTTAGTACATTTTTAGGAAGAAATCTTTATGTTCAACGATCTGTTTGAAGCACCTTAGGTGGGAGTCTAGTTTTTTTTTCTTTTTGTCTTCTTTTCTCGATCATTTACCTCGGATTTCTTCTTTTTGACTACAATAACTTTTTTGATGGGTTATAATTTAAAGACTTGCGATAATCATTTGGAATGCAGAAAATTCTGCACTGGATCGCTAGCCATAAATAACTCCATCAGAAAAAATGGTTGAAAATATTGTGAAGTCATGCACATAAATCATTTTGATCACATTTCAAATTTTAATCTGCATTTGCTTCGCTTCAAACGTTGAGCTTACTTGTGATTTTAATTTCAATTTATGTCAGAATAGATTCATGAAGTGTCGGAGTTGATGAGCCAGGTTTTTGAGGAGTTTTGGTTGAAACAAGGAAAAATCAGTATTTCTCCTTAAAAATTGACTCTTGTTATTGGCCACGTTTTCCGAGATAAATGATGAAAACGTGCTTTAAGCATTTCATTTTTAATCCACTTTTTCCGGTTAACATGAGTTCATTGACACTTTTCACGTTCTAATCATTGTTTTCTCTATCACTGATTTATTGGTTTTATTAATCGTAAAGTTTATTTCTCTCAGACTGGATTGAAGTTTTGTTCACGCGAGTGTTTGTGTTTTTAAAGTAATATAAAAAGCAAAAGTAACGAAAAACAAAAATTTGAGCTGAAAATAGATGAACAGAGTGTTTGTAGCTCCCTCTTCTCTTCAATTTAGCCATCTTTTTCCTTTAGGCAACAAGAGGAAGCTGTCTGCAGCTATTGCTCTGTTGGGGAACCCGAGAGTGGTGCTGCTAGATGAGCCTACATCTGGCATGGATCCAGTGGCCAGAAGGTTCTTGTGGGACCTGATCAAAAGTGTGGTCAAGAGCGGGCACAGTGTCATTCTCACATCACATAGGTAGAACAAACGTTTACTTCGATATTTTCACAGAAAGTTGTTTATTATTCTTATCATGAAGGGCTAAAATGTAAACCAAACATGTATCATCCACCCATCTATACATTATTGGTGGATGTTAACTGAAGTCGATATTTTGAAATATTCTATGCGAGTGCTCAAGTAGGTTTTTTTATCCATACGAACTATTGGTTTTAATTTTGCAAAATCATCTTACGTTTTTGCCATACATCTGTTGCATGGTGAATGCTGCAAATCTACAGTTTTTTTATTCACTACGCAAACTTTAAAATTTTTCGTTTCAGTGTGTATTTCACAAATTTGAAATTGTCAACCGTATAGAGGGGCGCTATCAGCGTTTTTCCCAGATGTTGGCATTCTTGCCTCCAATTATTTTTGCATAAACTTTTTACGCTTGCGATTAGCAATCCATATCAAACTGGAATATTTTTTTCGGGTTAGCTCTTTGTTTAACAGAATCAATTGAATAACTTGTATCTTGGTACATATTGAATTCAAATTTCTATGCGTTCTTTGCCATTTTAGCATGAAGGTAACGAATATGCCTGGAACGGCAAAGGTCCTGGGTTCGAATCTGAGCAGAATCTGACTAAAATTTTTGCAAATTATTTGTCTGCTTATCTGTTGTCGGCTTAGTTGTCACATCTTGAAAAACGTTTTTTTTTGCTGCGCGGACTTTTCTCTAATGTTGCTTTTGAGATTTGATTTACTCCTACAATTTTTAATTTTACTTCGTATATCTTTTTTTTTGCTTAAAAAACTCCTCGGCCCAAATTGTTTTGGCATATGTTTTATCGACTTAATGACCGAATTTTGGGTCTTTTCAAGGCACACAACTTGAACACTCTCCTTCGCATTTTTCATATTGGTTGTATGTTTACCAATCAGTTTGTTGAAAAATTTTTAGTTTTTCTCGGAAACTTCTACTAATTTTCAAAAAGGGGTATCAATTGAAAGACTGCCGACTCGCCTGTTCGCCTGTATACCCCCTTAGAGTCTCCTTTTACTCGAACCCTTTGTCTACGGCCTTCAAAAAATTCTGTGGGGGAATACTTGATCCTTTTTTTTTCTTTTTTTTTTACTGTGTTTCTTGAATATTCTCGAAAACTAACCTGCCATTCTTGAGATTTTAGGTTCAATTCAGAGAACGGGTTGTGGGAAATTCATTTGAATCAGCGAATTTTTCTCACCAAAAGCTATGGCCCTCGGAAAAGTCAAAGTTATTATTTTTTGACGGGTTTTTTAAAAGTTTTAATTATTTCTCGAGGACTGCCCTCCCAAATCTGAGATTTTGGTTTTAATCAATTTTACAGGTTGAGTGAATCCCTTCTACATGACATGAGCGGTTACGCCCTGTTTTTTCACACTAAAAGCTATGATTCTCGGAAATGTCAATTTTTTGATTAATTGATCGTTTTTTGGACTTTTCTCGCTACCTATCTGGCAATATCTGGTATCACAGATTTAATCGAAACAAGAAGTTGCTGAAAGCCTTCTTTTTTATAACTGGCTATGCCCAGTTTTGTTTAAGAAAAAAGTTATGGCATTCAAACAAGTCGAAGTTTTGAGACTTTTAATTTTTGCAAACTTTTTAACTTTACGCGATAACTGCTGCGCCAATTCTCAGGTTGTGTTCAATTGAGAAAACCGTTTCGGAATTTGCGCTGCTTAGGTGGCCACAACCTGCTTTTTGCAGGAAAAAATAGACTTTGGAAGTCCTTTTGACCGTTTTGTAGAATTTCTGACCAATTTTTAGAAACTTTTTTTGAATTTTCCTAAAATTTACACAATCAAATCTGCAATGAAAAGTTCAACTGAAAGAACCGGTTACGATAATGGTTCCTGTAGAAGCGGGGGCTCTTTAGGTTTTTGGTTGAGAAATGTTATCTCCTTGGTAAAATAAATTATCTCAAAGTTTTTTACTCTTTTTAAGAGAAACAACTAAGTTTTTGGGCAACGCCACTTTTTTGAAATCACATTTTTCGTGCCGCGTCATTATAGCTCTATCTTTAATTATCAAACAAATGCCTCCAGCTTTAGCTTGCCCCCCTTTTGTTTTTTTTTAACTAGAAATACGAAAAGTTTGATTCACATTTACATTTTTTTCGACTTCTTTTTTTAATAGTAGCGTTCTATCGCAAGTGGTGCGAAGCTTCGCTTCGCCTCTGTGTTTAGTTTCAGGTTTTTCAAAAAATTTCTCCATGGTTTTCCAAAAAGTTTCAAAAAACTTCGATTAAAAAATACCCTCAAAGTTTGAAAATGTCGAATCTTTGGTAGCGTGATGTCAGGGTACTCCCAGGACTAAAGCTCTGTCGGATTAGTCTGTGAGTTTTGTATATCACTTTGCATATATTATATATATGTAGCGCTCGTAGATCCTCAGTGGACAGTACATACAATTTACTTGCTATAAGATTGTGTCGAAATTTTTTGGTTGATTTTCAGCTATTTTGCTATCGGCTTTAATTCTGTCGGTTCATTAATCTCAATTACTGTTTCCGATCATTTTCCGGTATTGTTTTTGAAAATGAGAAATTTCTGGCATCGAATTCTCAAAATCAACATCCAAAGGATCTCCAAAAACTTAAATAAGTTTAAACATAGAAAACGTCTGTTTTTTCTAATTCCATTAATTTAACATCGTTCGAAGCCCTCTTTGCTAACTCTTGAGCATCATACTGTTTTCATTCTATACTTGTTGTATAGAAAATGGTGCGAAACTCAGATCCGCTTATGTGTGAGTTTGTCAAATTCTTTGCTAACTCTTGAGCATCATACTGTTTTCATTCTATACTTGTTGTATAGAAAATGGTGCGAAACTCAGATCCGCTTATGTGTGAGTTTGTCAAATTCACTTTAAAAAAGTTTTTGTCTGTTAGAGAATGGCTGTACTGTGCGTACTCCTGAAATCATTTTCTTAGTTTTTGAAAAAAAAAGATGCAGTCTATGTTTTTACGCCCGGTACCACGGGAATATGTTTTTTTTTTGCATAGCAAGTGATGCGAAGCTTGCGTTGCTGGTGTAAAATGTATATATTACCAGCATTTATCAAGATAGGGAAATGAATAGCTTTATGTAATGATTGTTTGTCTGCTTTTATGTTCTGTTGGAGAGCACTTTAAAGAGATTTTCATCCAACAATTTCGACTCGCCAGTGTATGAAAGTTTCCTGTTCAAAAATTTCGTCAGTTTGTAATTTGTTTCTGCTTTGGCTGTTGAGGTTTGAAGATTTTGGCCCTTGATTGGCAGTTAAATCCCTCAAAACGCTTTATCAGTTCTACTAACTAGATATGAGCAATTGATAAACCAGTTTTGCAGTTTCATCAATTGAGACGTTGGTTTTGTTAAGTATGGAAGAATGTGAGGCTCTATGCACCAGACTAGCCATAATGGTTAATGGTCACTTCAAGTGTCTGGGCAGCTGTCAACACCTCGTGAACAGATTTGGAGACGGATACACGGTCAATGTCAAGGTCACTGGATTCGCAAAACAGCTCCGTAATTTCCTTAGGTTCGTCGAATTACTATCGAAAATATTTTTCTTAGATTTGTTTGACTAAATTAGCGTAGTGAAGAGACGTTTTGAGGGTATAAATTTCAAAGATTTTTGAATATTGACTATATGATTTTCTGGCAATAAGATGATTAAATCTAGAATTAACATAGTCACCTATAATTTGTGTTCATGAGTGTTGAGCCGTCACAAACGTTAAAATAGTCCATTTTCCATCCTGATTTTGTTATACGGTTCAACTCGAGAATTTTTTATTTAGAAAAAAAACCGTTGTGGATCAATCAGGCATTAGTTTTGAGGTTGGAAGCACTGCTAACAATTCAACTCAAACCTTTTCAGCAGAGTTGAGGCCATGGTTTTGATCAGGTTATGAAAAGCAAATTAAGTGGTTGAAAAGGAGTATTGAATGAATAAATATACAGTGGAGGTGATGTTTAGGTACTTCAACCGGCAGTACCCTACAGCTGTGATCATAGACAGACACCAGAATCTGGTGCAGTACCAGATAGCCTCCGACGCCTGCAAACTGAATCTGGCTAAACTGTTCAACTTCCTGGAAGTGTGTGTGGCTGACTCCAAGGTCGAGGAGTACTCCATCAGTCAGACCACGCTCGAAAGGGTTAGTCATCTTTAACGTCCAGTTTTAGTTAAACAGGTGTTCACTAGTTTATTTACATTTTTTCCTGCCAAAGTGTGCTTTATAGTGCAAAGTATTTTAATACACAGCATCTAATCTATCTATATGTTTATTATAGCGCATTTGTCTAATCATTACTTTCGATTTTATAGTGCATTTGTCTAATCATTACCCTCGATGTTTTCCGTCTCTCATTAACAGTTGAATGATGGGTTCCAGGTGTTTATTAACTTCGCGCGTGAACAAGCTGATGAGGACATTAATATACTGAGAGAGCCCCTCTGCCAACACAAGAGGACGCTGAGTGGTATATCTGACATGGGCTCACTGGCCAGCGAGGGGGGAGCTGGGGGAGGGGGAGGAGAGAGTGAACCTGAGTTCGTCTCTCTGTCACCTACTGCCGACTTCATCAACAATCCCAACTCACCCCCGCCCACGCAGTCTTTTGCTCCAAACTCATTTCTGGTAGGCCTTTGATTAATTAATTGAAGAAGAATGAACGAAGTAAATGTCACGTGAGCGCACGCGTTGAAATTTTTTGATAGTTTTAAAACTATGGTAAAGCGGCTAATTGTTAAGGAGAAATGTGTTGCTGGACCCTTACGTGTTCACTTATTTTGGTGACACTTTTTGTATAATCACGATCTGTAGAATTGGAAATTTCATTGCATCTGTTCTCTGCTTTATTTGTGGCTAGTGTTAATCAGTTATTAAGCGACTGTGTGTAGTGTGTGAAACTCATAATCTCTAGGTCGCAGATCGAATCCGAGATGTACCCGAATTTTGCTACTTTGAGGCTTATTTATACTTTTTCTTATTGTACTTTTTAGAGCTACTGTTGATTGAAATTTCACCAACTCGATTATTTACACTTGCGAAGCAAAGTGTATTAGTACGATTATTCTTTTTTTTCAACCTAAGTCGCAAATAAAAAAGCTAATTTTGGTGGCACTTCTGAATCGGTTGGCTGCGGTAGCAGTATAATATCATATGTGCTTTGGCCTTTGATTAGTAAAAAGTTAACACATCTGATGCATTTTTAATTCATCAAATGAACCGAAAAACGTTAATTGTTTCAAACGGCAGTACAATGATAAAAAGATCGATTTAAGAAATTTTCTAACTCAATGTATCTCGCAATTTTTTTGAAATTCATAATTTATTCATGATTTGGCTTTGTTTGGTGCTACTTTTGCTGCACCGAATCGGCAATTTGTTAGCATATGTAGCTGCGTTATTGGTGGCTAGTTTTTGAGCATGATTTGGCTGTATTTGGTGCTACTTTTGCTGCATCGAATTGGCAATTTGGTAGCATATGTAGCTGCGTTATTGGTCGCAATTTTTGGGTATTTTAAGCATCCGAGGGTGAGTGGTTAGTGCGTGCGACTCAAATTTGCTAGCTCGCTGATTTAAATCCGACACGTAGCCGAGTTTTTGTTTATTCGAGGCTTATTTCTACTTTTTATTTTTTCAATTGGTAGAGCTGCTTTTTGGTCTTGTTCTCGCAAGTGATTGCGAAGCACAGCTTCGCCTCTGTATTAAATTTCTTTTTCTGTTTTTTTTTCCTTTTTTTCGGCTTGATAGTTTTCGGCCTATGTTATATCGGCTTAGTGATCTCATATTGCGTCGTTTGACAGGCGAAAAAAATTTTTTTTCGGTTTTCTTTGTTATTTTTTCAATTTCATTTTTTATAGCTTAATAGGGTTTGGCTTATATTATATAGGCTTAATAGCCTCATATTGTTTCATTGGACGAGCGAACAAAAAATGGATGTGTTTATGTTTTGAGGGCAAGGGGTACTTAATGGCTTTTTATGTCTTCAGTCTCGCAGATTTTTGTTCGGCTTAACGGGTTTTTGTCAAGGTATTTTTGACATTGTTGCCGCTTGGTAAATTTCCTTCCAAGCTTATTTCGCATTCTATTGTCTTGACATGTTTTTGTTTGAAAACTAGCCTGATTCATTTTGAGAGATCTAGTTTTTTCGACTTAGCGGCTTTCTTGTTTTTGTACAGTTAGCTGAGCTAGCTTGGCTTTTGTGTATAAAGTGAAAGGACAAATGTGGTCGAAGTTTAAAAACCTTCACGAGATTCGCGTCATCAAAAGGCGAAGCATTCTTAAACCGACAAACTTTGATAAGGTACTAAAATTGATTTTTCTGATTCAGTGCATTGCAATGATAATCACAATCTTTTACTTCATGGTCTTTAATCAGCATGACTTCTAAAATGACTAATTTGTAAAAAGTTATTGCTTCAATTTAGCTATCATTTGTATCAAATTAAACAATAGTATTGGTAAGTGTTGTTTCAGGATGATTTGCACCTTGATGAACTGCCAATTGCAACAAACTACAACAACTACACCTCAGTGGCGCACACAACGGCTAACAGCACATCCTGCTGATCTAACTCATTTTTAAAGCCCTCATGGGGACAGCTTGAGCTTCTGGGCGATTCTTCGGTTGAAGTTATAACTGTTTTTTAATCACTTATTGACCAAAGCTGAGGTCAAAATTCATGATGTCAAGATTCGAAGGAGTAATTAAACCGAAGAGTCTCTTTTTTTTTTGCTTTGTATAGGACCCTTTTAATAATCAAAAAGTGCAATTGTATCGCTTAATGGGTGCTCGGTTTTATAGCAATCATCTCTCGAGATTGGGCAAACACGATAGGACAGTTCTTTCAGAAATCATATCTAGTTTGAAGAGGTTTTTCTCAATTTCCAGAAGAAATTGTTTTAAGTGTTAATGAAAGCAGTAATACTCTTTAGGTCTTAAATTCTCAAATTTGGTTTTTCGTTGCTTTTTCATTTCTTTTTAAGTTACTTCATTTTCTTAGTAAAAAGGAAGGCAAACTTCACTACCAAACAGTAAAAGTAAAAAAAAAGTGACGAAAATTGTGAATAACTTATTGATTTCCCGCGGAGTAGAAAAATATTAAATAATCTATTGAAAAACTGACCATTGATCCAGTTTTTCAAATTGGGTTATAATTATCAAAAACGCGTCAATCATAAATTTTTAGTGGAATTCGTAGAGCTGTAAGGGCATATATTTTTTCATTGAAGTTTGAAAGTTAAGATTTTTGTTTCGGTTTCCTTGTGTTTATTGACACTTTTCCAACTGTCTGTTGGCTATGTTTACTTTTCTCCAGTGCCAGTAGAGTTTTTATTTTCCTAATTTGTGATTACATGCTTGTTGAAAATGTATGTTTATGAGCTCAAAATGAACTTCTCTTGATTGTCCAAACTCAATTTAAAAAGAAATATCTATTAGAATCTTTACAAATTCTTTTTTTTGTAATTTATTGTCATTGTGCTGTATGATTGTTCGCATTAACATAAATAGCTAGTTTTATTCGTATTAGTCTGGTTTAGTTAACAATTAAGTCAATTATCATTTTCTTTAAAATTTCTTTCCGTTGCTGAAAAGTTTCGGGTCAAACGAAATCGATCTTTATCGATTTTTATTAAGTTTCATTTCAGACACTTCATGACCTTAAATCAAAAGCCTTGATGTAAAATATGGCATCTTATTCACGACAAAATGCACTTCCTACAAATTCTACAGATTCGCTCAAATCGTCGTCAGGTCTCACAGAAACACAACAGAAAGTAACCAAACTTGCCGAAATAACAGCCAAGACTTTCTTCGATTTCATTCTCCAGTCACGATCTGATGCTAACGCGGACTCTACCCAGCAGCAGTTGAATTTCTCTGAGATTTTAGAACACGCAGATAAATTTAACAAAGTATTTGTCGACACATTGACTATAAAATGGAACGACAACCAAGTGGGAAAGAGTCCAGATTACTCACAGCACTGCGACAGCGCAGAGGAAGACGAAGTATTTGAGAACTCGCTCTACCAACCATGTCCAGATGGACCCACGAATCAGTACGAGCCAGTTTACGAGAACTCAATGGATTCGGCCGGCGGAGGGGATTACAGAGACTCGGACGACTACTCAGACGCGAACCAGAACCTCGGAGACGTCACTCCGACACCTCCCACTGAGTCCCATTACAGTGCAATGCGAGACTGCGACAGCGGTGCCACCCCGAGATCATCGGCAGGAGAAAGTCGTATCTATGACACACCTACAAGTTCAGCATCATTGGAAGACAAACTGGTGTCTCAATTACAAGCTCATGGATTCAAAGTCCCGCCCAGTAATGCCCAGGATTCGGGTTCAATGAAGAAAGCAGATACGAAAGAACATGACATTTCAGCGAGCGATGACAGTTTGAACGTCTCAGAAATGGAGAAACGAATGAAAACTTCGATGCAATTGAGTTTGACGCAATCAGACAACAGTTTGAAAACGAGTGCAGCTAGTGGAAACGAATCACAAAATGTGGCAAAATCGAAGCCGAAACTTAAAACTGCAATTATGGACTTGGGAACAGAGGCGACAGAGTTTTTGAGGTCTAAATCTAAGAGCAACGAAAGTCCAAAGCCGGCTTTGAAATCAGGTGTGGATGCGAATCAGCCTAAAAGCGCCCCGGTGGTTGTGAAAAAGGAAAGTGTATTGGAAGTGAGACTCCATAAAAAAGAATCCTCGCCATCTTCTTGGAAAGCTTGTAGATTGGTGTTGCTGAAAACACACGGTGGACTGATGCTAAATGTGTACACGCCTCCTGAAAGCGACAAAATTTACTCTAGTATTTTCTGTCCTCTTATTTACGAAATAGGCGAGGCTACAGAAGCGCAATTTGGGAAAACTGCCGACCGTGTTATGGTTATCAAAGCGCAAGATGCTCCAGTTGTGACATTACGTGCCAGAAATTACGAAGATAAACACGACTGGATTTGTGTTCTGAGAGAAAACACGGACGCGAAGTCAACTAAACGAGTTATTTACACAGACTCTGAAGAACTATCGCCGATGACGCCGACTGCTGAAAGTTTCGAAGGCAGATCGCAGCCGAGAGTCAACACCAATGGAGCAGTTTACTCGTACGAAAGTGGATCCCCAAATCATAGTCGAAGACCTTCGAACAGCTCGATGAGTTCGAGCTACAGCAGAGATAGTCTGGACAGGAACAATTATGTCTCCGCTGGCTTTGAAAACAGTTTTGACCGGCAAAAATCCTGTCCGAACCCTTCCAATTACATTTACCAAGGTGGAGCAATGTATGTTCGTCAAAACAGTCATCCTAACAAAGCAGTCAGTCAGATGAGTGTGAATGACAAAGATATGGGGGGACAGTCGGTGCCCGGAAGCGGAGGTCACGTGCCAAGGATTGCCAGTTGCGGGGATTTTATGAATGCGCCTCCAGTAACGGGAGCTTCAAATCGTGGACAGTCAATCTATGGTTCGCGAGGGCCACCGCTTGAGCAACTGAAAAATTATCCTTGGTTCCACGGGAAACTTCCTAGAGAAACGGCGTCCAAGATGGTTCTGGCCCAGTCTAACCCGGCAGCTGGACATGGAATTTATCTGGTGCGGCAAAGTGAGACGAACGAAAATGAGTTCACCCTCACCTTTAATTATGAAGGCAAAGCGAAACATCTGAGAATAAACGTGGACGCGCAAACTGGAGTTTGCCAGTTGCAGAATCTTCAGTTTAAGTCTCTGAGACATCTGATCGAGACATACACGAAAGAAAAATTGCCAATTGACGTCAAAGGAACTTCAGACATTACTCTCAAATCGTACATTGCCAACTTTGGGGGTGCGTCGGGCGGGGGAGCAATGAACCCGCAGCTGCAATCCCACAAAAGGAACAAGTCGGTCGATTTTAACATCGAGAATGGCGGGGGGCCTCCCAGAAATCAAAGTCATTATGGTTACGGGAACCAAAGGTCAAATCCGAGTGGAGGAATGAACAAAGTAAGCAACTCCCAGGGCGTGTATTATGCTTCCCACAATTAATTGCTAGCACAACCTGGAGGATTTTTTTTTTGGAGATTTTGCTGGATTTCAAAATCTGGATAACCGTGATTGAAAATTGGATCTATTGCATGGAATGAATGGTTGGACAGAAAATTTGGATCTCTACACTTTCAGAGCGTTTGTGGATTTCAGATTATTTTCTAGAATTCGAAAGATGGTTCTTGAATTTTCTGAAAGGAATTTGAATCTGCATGAAACTCGAATGAAAGTTTGTTGCTATATGGTTTCAATTTCCCTCATATGTTCATGTTCGTTGTTCTGTAGCGAATTTTGCAACAATCAATTTGAAAAGTTTTTCTTGGTGCTTCGTTATAATTTCGGTCGGATAATGCATAATAATACTAATTGTCTCATCCAATTGATATTTAGCTATATGGAATGCGCACATTTTAAATGCGTTTTTTCGCATTCTATCTTTTTAAGTTTTGTATTCTATCTTCCAAAGTTTTGTATAATTTTTACGCTGTTTCTAAAGCTTTGAAGTATCGTGTTAAATGAAAAATTTGACCTTTTCGTGTATCAGTAAATTGAAGTTGAAATTTATTGAAGGAATTTTTTAAAATATTGCATTTAAAACGCGGATACATCAAATGTTCAGTATGAATTCTTGCGTTCTTTTCGAGCTCCCGGCTTTCCATTTATCGACGATATCAAAACTATTTGTTGTCAATTAGTGAAATATGGAATGGAGATAAACGGCTTTTAACTCCATCATGCCTCTAATTTCTTTGTATTATAAAGGTCCATACTGCAATAATTTTTCTATACATAAATCAATAAATATATTTTCATCCATCATTTTAGTTTAAGCGATTCTCTTATCTATGCTTGCAAATGTCGCTTCAAATGCATCTAAGTTTTTTCGACCGATTTTTGGAACTCGTTTGATAAAATCATGCTGCTTGTTTATTGATGCAATTTCATCATCTATTTGGATATTTACTCAATCCCATTTTTGTGCAATATTGGCTTGGAATGTTAAACAATATCGAAGCAAGCGATCTTTTTTCTGCTACATGACATTAACATTTTTGGCAAATCTTTATTTTTTGACGTGAAACGATTAAGACATGGCGCAGAAGATTCATTTGCTTCGTAATAATTGTCGGTATTTCTATCAATTTTCATCCTTAACTAGTTTGAACCCCAAATGTGTGGGCGGAATGCATTAGCTGAGGTTATGTTATCTAGTGCGAAGTGCTATTTAGTGAATGCTGAATCAGGTTGGAAGTAACTTCGAATTTGATGCTGTCTACCTAATTTATATAATCAACTTTTCGAGTTGATTGTTAGCCAATTAAATTAAAATGTATTGTTACATTTAATCAAAGATTAGAAAGCGTTTCCATATGTTATTCTAAAAATTCTAGAATTTCTGTTTTTTGTGGGACAATGGATGAGTGATAGGTAATACAAGCAGGAGACTGAGTTCCGCTAAAATTACTTGTCATCAATGTCTATTTCAGATGACTTTTAAAACGAGACTGAATGTCTATTTCAGATGAACTTTAAAACAAATTGGCATTTTTCAAAAATTTGAACCTGAGATTTTGTAGATGACCCCATCAGATAGTTGACGTTTCCACTGTTTATTACGGTAATTTTTAGGAGGGCTTTCAAAAAGTTGAGATGATTGTTCGCTTTTTACACGAGCGCTTGATTTTGCTGGAATTTGGATGAGTGTTTTTTTTGAGATGCTGAACTGAAATATTTCTTCGCATTTTAAGCGAGAACATGAACGCTATAAAACAAAGCCAATAATAAGGTAAATCCGTTGGTGCCAATGTGTACCAATTTTTAAGAGGGAGCGCGCGCTGAAAACACAATTTTTTGTTCAGAACCCTAAAAGTGCCTAGAAATGTTAGTCGACCTGAAATTATCTACAAAGGTTTCGACAACACACCCTCTCCAACCTCAAAAAAATTCTAGATGCATCCCTGAGCTAGACAGCACTTGCGTTGTTTGAAGTTTACCTTGTTATCAAGTAGTGTGACATTATTAAAAGGCGATGAACGTGTTGTTGTTGTGAAGGCCCTCACAGCCTTTGCGTGATCTATGCGGATTTTTCGGGGTCTGTACAAAGGGTTTCATGACAGCGTCCGAGGCAAGACATGATGTGATGGACTGTCACTGTCCTGTTTTTACAAATGTGGATTTTGTCTGTGAGGATGCTTTGAAGCGAAACTTGTAATCATTTAGTTTACTGCAAAAACCGCTTCTTACTTGCGCCAATCTAACTTTTCTTTCCTATCCAATTTTTGTTCGAGGTGTTATTTTCCTGTGACCCCAATGGTAGTGAGCCAATCAGCGCTCGACTAGGGGCAAGATTTTTACAGGCTTTGATCGCATAAGAAGTGTGCAGTTTAGTTCAATACATTGTTTTGTTAAACGGTCTTAGAGGAATATTTTAATTTTGCTGTTGTCTGTTTCTTGTTAGAATGCTCGTTCGTGGTATGAATGAATGGGTTGTCGTTTTTTGAAGTACCTATTGCGATGACAATAACATACAATTGTGTTTTATTAGAATGCATTGTTTCCCCCACCTCATGATCTACAGCTGACAAACATAGGCATCCGCTGGCTATGTGCAGGGCATAATTTTGTCTTGCTATGTTCATTTAATGTTAGAATGACTCTTAAATAGGTCGTGATGATTTTTTTTTCTATGAAAAAGACGCAATTTATATTTTTCTAAGTTCAGTTTTTTTTAAAGGGAGGCAAACTCCACTATCGAACAGTATAATTACAAGTCACAAAAAAGATCGATTTCTTTTTTTGAAAGTCGATTTTAACTTCAGACTTTCTAGTGGTACGTTTTCTTGAACAAGTGAAGTCTTGTGTTTGTCCGGCCAATTTAATCCGATTTTTTTGTTTTGGAGGCTTGATTTTTTTTAGACATTTCCTTAGAAGATTTATATACATTTTTTTGTAAAAAATTATAATACAATTCGAGATACAGTAACGCCGCTCGCGGACTAAATCCCCCAGGATAAAATCCCATCCGATATAATCCTCCGGGACTAAATCCCCGATAGGACCAAATCCCCCATAGGACCAAATCCCCCTAGGACAAAATCCCCCATATTTTATTGAGTATGTTGGAAGTCAAATTGTACACATTATACGATTTACACCTGAAATTGTGCGAAAATTGTGTCGACCTTCTGTGAGTCAATCAAATTGATTTCTCGAGATTTTTCAGATCACTATTAAGACCAAACACTATAAAAACGAGTCGAAATTGACTTTTGGAAAGTTTTGTCCAAAAATTGCGTTTTTTGGCGCGCGCTCCCCTTAAAAATTAGTATATATTAGAGCCACAGGTGCCGTAAGAGAATTTATTCGGTGGGTTATTCATGGGTTATTTATGAATTTATGGGTTGTTCGGCCAAAAATGGATGTCATATGATAACACCAAAGAGTGGACCTTTGGGTCGGTAAGGTGGCCCCTAAAATTGCCCCTGTAAACACGTAACAGACAATAGTATTTTTTTTTGCAAATTATAGGAGTTTAGGTCAGATTCCTTGTATTATTTTTAACCGCTGCTTTTTTTTCGTTCAATTTTCTGTTTTATCCGTGATATTTTTGTATTGGAGGCCTTCAAGACAATTAGACTTATTAAGAAAGGGTTTTGCAACCGGGTAGTAGACTTTTTCTGAAATCCAGTTTTATGACATGGAATTGTAGTAAGACTAGTTTCATTGGGTGTAAAGTGTAGTAATACTGATGCAGTGGTACTGGGTGAAGCCGAAATTTTTTAGGGTTCGCCTAATTTCATGTCGGTTTTGTGAATTTCGTCCCAATTTCGGTCGGGTTGCTTGCAAAGTATTTCAGTAACTTTTAACAGTTTTCTGTTTTTTTTAAGTTAATTTTGAGCAGCGTTGGCATAATCCATTGGGTTTCATACGCACTAAATTATTCTGTTTTTGTTCCGACCATTGAAAATGGGGAGAAATTTTGTATTCCGGTCTGTTTTAGTTTTTTTTGTTTTACCCGCAAAAGCAGGTGCAGCAAATAATGATCAGACTGGGCTGAGTGATGTATCATATCAAAGCCCTTGCCGTCGTGATTCGAAGCATATTTCAAAATTTCAAAAAATAAAGTCCCAGTGATGAGAAAATCCGGTTTGAAATTTTTGTCTTATTTCGAGCGAATAAAAAAGCGAGCGAGCAGTCTCATTTTAATTGCTTAAAGCCTACAGTAGCTTTAATTAAAACGTAGAAACTGAGTTTTGCTTGGGTAACGTTAGTTTACTTTGAATGTTTTAGTGGCTTTTTGGAATCTAATTTTTTAAATTTATAAAAACTGCAAAAAATTTGAAAAGAAAATTTCATAATTTTTTTTGTTTTTGTTGTCGTTTTTACACAAGCAAAGCTTGTGTTCTAGTATGAACTCTCTTTTTTTCCAACCTAAGTTGCAAATATTATTGCGAGGCACATATTGTTGAGACAAAATGTGTTCATTTCGATCAATAACCAGCTATTAATTAGAGCCAATGTTAAGGATATGAACACAGACTATTATGTTACAATTAGCTCTTTAGATTCAAGGTATCATGGATCTGTAGCGTAGATGTAGGGAAGGAGACCAGCAACGAAATAAGAGGGTTAGAACCTGGGCAGGGTCAGATGTTTTAAATGAAATTTTTAGTATACTAGCTAAAATGCGTCCGCTCTATAAATTGAGGCATGTTATTTGATATAAATTTTTTCAAATTGACTTGTATTGCTAATGCGTCATACTTGCCGTGCGTCACCTTAGAAATTTTGAAGAGTCAAAGTTTACTCGTTCAGTTTTTCCCAGTAGCGTTCTCGGTCATATTTTTGCTTGTGTATGCGAAGTGCAACTTTGCCTCTCTGTTCTGGAAAAATTGTTTTTCAATTTGCCTTTTTAACTATGACTGTCGAATATGTCTAATGCTTTTCGCCAAAAGTCCAGAAAGTGCATTATAATTTTGTCCTGGCCGCTTTATGTCTAGCGTCGCTCTGTTACCTGAGATCTGTAGCAAATTTTGTTGATGAAATCGGTATTTGCATTCCGGCGGTTTGATTTTTGTCTCTCGGAGAAGAGAGAAGAGGGGCAAGAACAAAGCTCTCTAGTTTTTTTTTATAAAAACAATTTTTTGAAAAGGCTTTTCGTATCGGAACACTAAAAATATCAGAAACCAAAAAGGAAACGTATTTTGATTTAAAAATATGACCCAAGACCGACCCCCCAAGACAGGCTGAGGAATTACACGAATATAAGTCGTTTCACTTTTACACGTTTAAGCTGTTGACGCTCCATTTTCCAGTTTGAAACCTGAAAGATGCGAACAACAACAAATAAATCTATTAGTTGAATGCTGAGGTATCAGAGCTCTTTCCATTGTTCCGATCTTCAAACCATGACTTTAATTGCAGTCGTAAAACCGATGTTTATTTTGTGATTTGATTTTTTCAGGTCAGATTTGTATTGTTATACCATTTATTTTGAACCGGCAAACGATAACCGTTGCTGCATTAGAGTTGTGTACAAACAGCGACGAAAAGATCACATGAAAAAATGATAAATATAGTTTGAAGAGTGTGACGTGACAAACTGGCCTGCAGCATTTGAACGTCTAAAAAAAGCAAATTTACGAATAAGTGTGAAGATTTGAGCATTTTTTTTATATGTTAAACTGCACTGATCTAATTCTACCAACTTATTCGTTACTTTGAACTTTACGACTTTGTGGTCTGTTTTCTTTTCGATTAATCATACGTTTAGCGTTTAGAAAAGGTATAACCCTATATTGATAGTTTGGATTAATTTGTCAGATTAATTCCTGTTACTGGGATAAGTGTTATTGTCAGAAGTGAGAGTAAATAGTGTTAATTAGCTTCGATTCGTTATTATATTTTGGAGTGAGTGCTTGTTGTTGTTGTGATGGCGGCCAACATTGAGAAGATTAAGAAGAAGATCCGAGGTCTCACTGACGAAGTGGACGAGTGGCACGACAAGGCAGACCACTTCGAGAAGCTGGCGAACGAGAACAAGGTGTTTATTTTATGTAGTTTCTGGCCCACTCCATGCTAAAATGAACATAAAATTACGGTATTGTCGCCCTTTTAAAGGCGTTCTTTCCCTTTAACTAAGACAAATCAAATATTCCGAAGTAAGTATTACTATTTTCTTTGATGTGTAATTAAATTAGCGGTAATCAGTCTTTTTCGACTTTCCTATCATTTTTGTACATATTCTCGCTGAGGATTTTTTTGGAAGCTGAGGATTTTATTGTTCCGACTTTCTCGTTGTGGTTTTTTAGACAATTTTCGACTTTTTAACTATTTGACAGATTTCACCATTTTTGACAGATTTTTTTTTCTATATCATTCAAAAAGTATTGTTGTCTTGAGCTTAAATTTGAAAAGATATTTCACCTGTGATCATTTTTCGTAAAGTTTTGGCTGTTTAAAGATGGCCAATTTGGGACAATTAACACGCGATGTAATTCGCGAATAAGCAGAGATTTTAATCCGTCTTAGAAATTGCTCCGATTAGTTGAAGTAAGCTTATTTGCCATATTTGATTTGTTACTATGAGCAAAATATATCCCTTTGTAGTTTATATGGCGTGTGGGGTGATAATTTTCACAAAAAATCTCGGATTTTAATTTTTTTTCATGTTATTACTGCTCCATAGACCTTAAAAGGTAGTCGGAACATTCAGGGCTTCGCCCTGTTACGAGATGTCTTGGGTAAACCCTGTTGCGATCAGCTTTTAAGTGTATGTTATTTAAAAATATTTTGCATATGTTGATGCTTTGAGCTCGAAAGGACATATTTCATCTGTGATTGTCTTTCGCAATTTACTGTGTTTAAAAGTTGCCAATTTGGCAGTATAAATGCGTAGCGCAGGCGATGAATTGATCCAATTAAGAAATCATTGCAAAGATAATTGAGGCAAGCAAGTTGATCCAAATAGTTCGCTAATAGGCGCAACATTTATCGTTTGGTTCCGGAAATTGGAAGATTTTCAAGAAAATAGCCGACGTTCCAGTTTCGGAAATTGGAAGATTGGTTCTGCGAATTGGTTCTGGAAATTGGAAGATTTTCAAGAAAATAGACGAAGTTTTAATTTTAAAAACTTTTTATTCGTCAAACCTTGGAAGTTAATTTTCGAAAGTGCAGTCGGAACATTCACGGCCCCGGCCTTCTTCAATGCGTGTCGTGTAGCATGCGGCTATTAGAATTTAGTTAGTTTTCTTACAATTGCAACTAAAACTCGAAACTGATGTGTGCTGCACATCGTGTCTTTACTAAACAGTTCAATACAAAACAGTCAGGAAAAGTATGAAGGTGAACAAAAAAACAGTCCGATACAAAACAGTCCCAAGAAATAATTGTTTTAACAAGCCGGTTAGCCGAGAATTGACCTTTGTTCAACAAACATAAACAACAAAATAGTGACCGCCGTAGTCGCGCCTACGTGTTGCGAGCTTGCCAACAGAAGGTAGGACCCTATACGAAGTTTAGAGCTGGTTATCCCCGCGACCTTAAGTTAGACTGTTTTTGTATCGGACTGTTTTTTTGTTCCTTACATGATTTTTCGGGCTGTTTTGTATTGAACTGTTTTGTATATGCACCGCCGCTCATACACGTGAAATTTCACGGTCGTGCGATTCTATCCTTGGAGAAGTTCGATCACAAACACACACAAATAAATACATACATACATACATTCTTACTTACACACATACAACTATATATACATACATACATACAAAAATATATACATACATACATACATACATACATACATACATACATACATACATACATACATACAAACAAACATACATACAAACATACATACATACATACATACATGCACACATAAATACGTATCTACCTACATACATACATACATACATACATACATTCTTACTTACACACATACAACTATATATACATACATACATACAAAAATATATACATACATACATACATACATACATACATACAAACATACATACAAACATACATACATACATACATACATGCACACATAAATACGTACCTACATACATACATACATACATACATACATACATACATACCCGTGCACCAACTCTTCTTTCTTTATATAAATGGAAGATTGAATTGAATTGAGACGTTTACCATATAAATTTTAAAATATCTGCTCATCTATCTATTATATATTTAAATGCGGGCTTCACTATCTCGCCATGTTTAAGCTTCTTCAACGTATTATTTTTGCATGTTTAAGCTATATCGTATATTGCAATGGTTAAGAATTTTTTTTCGATTTTCCAATTTGGTGTTAGTGGTTATTTTACCGAGTTTAAATTAAGTAGCCCAATATCGAATTAGGGGTTATATATTTAAATGGCGGGCTTCACTATCTCGCCATGTTTAAGCTTCTTCAACGTATTATTTTTGCATGTTTAAGCTATATCGTATATTGCAATGGTTAAGAATTTTTTTTCGATTTTCCAATCTATCTATTATATATTTAAATGCGGGCTTCACTATCTCGCCATGTTTAAGCTTCTTCAACGTATTATTTTTGCATGTTTAAGCTATATCGTATATTGCAATGGTTACGATTTTTTTTCGATTTTCCAATTTGATTTTAGTGGTTATTTTACCGAGTTTAAATTAAGCAGCCCAATATCGAGTTAGGGGTTGCGAATTTGGCCTCCAATTTTGAATGCCCGAATCATTTTCATTTTAGGCAACGAGATAAGACGATTTTTGAGATTTTTTCAAAAATTATTTGAAATTTCAAATAACAAAATAATTTAAAAAACTCGAAGTTCGCAACCCTGTAGTTGGGTGCTATCGGAGTACTATCGGAAATCTTGCCTCCAAATATGACTGTTCAAATCCTTGTAGTTTTCGAGATATGACGTTTTTTGTGAATTTTTCAAAAATTTTCAGAAACCTTAAATTATTATAAGTTTTTAAAAATCTGAAATTCCCAACCCTGTAGTTAGGTCGTGTCAAAGTACTCTCAAAGATTGCGAATCTTGCTCCCAAGTGTGACTGCTCAAATTTTAGTAGTTTTCGAGATATGACGTTTTTTGTGATTTTTTCAAAAATTTTCAGAAAACTTAAATTATTATTATTTTTTTTAAATCTGAAATTCCCAACCCTGAAGTTGGGTACTGTCAGAGTACTATCAAGGATCGCGAATCTTGCCTCCAAATATGATTGCTCAAATCGTTGTAGTTTTCGAGATATGATGTTTTTTGTGATTTTTTCAAAAATTTTCAGAAAATTTTAATTAATTATTTCTCCAAATTTGAATTTCCCAACCTTGTAGCTGGGTGCTATCGGAGTACTCTAAGGAGTTACAAATCTTGCCTCCAATTATGACTGTTCAAATCCTTGTAGTTTTCGAGATATGACGTTTTTTGTGAATTTTTCAAAAATTTTCAGAAACCTTAAATTATTATAAGTTTTGAAAAATCTTCACAATGCAGTTATTAGGGTTAGCGGTACAGTTAATAGAAGCAGTAATTGCCAAGTGAACAAATTCAATTTTTTGCAAGGAAACGCAATGAGGGCGGCAACGTCTTACGTGTTTTGGACAGTTTTTCGGCAAAAGTTTTGGGCAATTTTTTTTGGCAGTTTTTAGGGAATATCCAATGTAGTTAAATTCAGACCATGCATCCGTCAATAAACTTTGCTTTTCGCTGTCCCTTCTGAGTTGCTATCATTATTTGCGTTCTTTGAATGCTTGATTATGAAATAATGTAGAACGAGCAATAAATTTTTCGTCCACGTGCAAGTGTTTTAGAATATTCGATGTTTCGGTTGGTGGGTTGCTTGTTTGTCGGAAAATTGAGTCTCATAAAAATTTGAAAGTTTTGAGAAAATTTGCTTAGAATTATGTCAAATATACACTATGACTCAAAAAATTTCGAGTTAAAATTAGTCAAGAAATTCAATGAATAGTTTTTTTGGACTTGAGCGTTTTAATGTAAACGGAGTCTACAAAAGTTTTTTTAATGATCACCTCTGAGTGCCTTTTTTATACTTGGCGTTTGTGGAGGAGTTTTTTTCGTTTAAAAATTACTGAGCGAAATCGAAATTAGTTTTTTCTTTAGTGTTCTGATTGGCGCCTTCAATGGCTGAAATTTTCATTTTTTTAAATTAAAAAAGACTAAAAATGGCATTTTTTTAAAATTGGAAACAAAGACTGGTGAGATGTGATAGCAAAAAAAAAGATGTTTGATTGGCTTATCAAAAAGAGTCCCTTATGGAAAATTTTGAAATTTAGATGTAAATTTCCAATTGTTTGTTGGAGTTGTTTCTGTATTTCTGGGTGTAAAGTTCCTTCGGACAGTCAAATTTTATTGCTAGAGTGATATTTTTGCATGGATTTATATAGGAGTAAGAAAGTCATGGCTGTGACGAAAAGTATTAATATTGACAAAAATATGTCTAAAACATTGTTAATTTTGATCTTTTTCGCTATGAGTGAAGAGTTTGGATTAATTGAGCTTCTTGTGAAGCAACACACTTCTTTCGGAAGATTTCTTGGCATTGGTGAAGTAATACACTTCTTTTGTCTCTTTTTGTGTTCAAATACGAGAAGATTTGGCATTGTGTTTGTGAATGGTTTGAAGGAACGTGCGGAGACGGCGGAGGCTGACGCGTCGGCAGTGCAGAATAAGTTGCTGCTGACAGAGGCACAGGCGGACAAGGCGGAGGCGAGAGCAGCTGAACTGAACAGCAAAGTGCAGGACTACGAGAAGCAGACGGACGAACAGGAACAGTGAGTAGTTCATGTTTCTTAACATTCATGGATTCCAATTTCATCTGAAAACGGACATCATTAGTCCAATGGCGATCTCCCGTGGGTTATTTTAAGATAAATGATTGATTAACTAAGTCTGAATGCTTGAGTTTGTAAATGTAATGGAAACAAGCTGTTCTTATTCAGCTACACACAATTCGTTTTCTTATGGTTAGATATGAAATCCCATACTAGCCAATGCGAATAAATTATTACAAGCGGAATAACTAATTGCGATTTCAAATAGAGCTGATTGGTTGTTCAATTAATTGGAAATATTATTATAAGAAAGGTGGGTGATTTTCAACTACGGCTTCAGATATTTTAATAGGATTTTCATTGTTTCAGAGAACTGAAGAAGTTAAGAGTTCGCATCTCAGAAGCGGACAACAATGTAAGCAATGTTCCCTCCTCAAATTGTATTGTGTATCCATTCTGAATAGAGTATGAATATTTACACTTGCGAACTTTATTGAGGTAGTGTTATAGTACGACTCTTATCTTTTCTAACTTAAGTCGCAAACATTGGTGCCTATTTTCGGGACCTTTACTGCTATTTGATAGCATGTACTTTGACATTCGATTATATTTAAGTTGACACAGTTGATGCAGTTCTAATTGTTCAAATGAACCGAAGAAAGCTATTTGTTTAAATATCAGTAGAATCATAAAAAATCGATTTCAGAAATTTTCCAACTCAATATATCTCGCAATATTTTTTAAATGCTTATTTTATACATAGTTTGGCTTTATGCTTTCGAATTTTTTATATGCAAAGTTAGCGTGGATGCCTTCAGTTTGTTATATTCCAATTTATTACATGCCACGTTGTGTCAATTAGTATTTGGCGCCACTTTTGCTGCATTTTGTTAGAATATCTAGCTGCTTTGTTTGTGACTAGTGTTGGCCGATAGATAAGCGTCCGTGGCCGAGAGGGTGGCGTGAGACTCCAAATTTTGAGGTCGCTGGTTCGATTCCGTTATGTATCAAAGTTTAACTCATTTGAGGATTCTTTTTTTTTCACTTTAAAGGCTGCTTTGTTGTCGTGTTCTCGCAAGTGTTTGCGAAGCCCAGCTTCGCCTCTTTGTTAAAGTCTTAAGCTCCTAGGTTTCGGATTTTTAAAAAAATGGATAGTTTTGCTGACATTTTTTTAGATCGAACAAATTGAATTCCCGAGCTCTCTAAAATCACTGAAAAGACCACACCCTATTTTTGCAAATTTGTGCCGCAGGCGAAATTTTGAAAAACAGGCAAAATGGTGTTTTCAGGCTCCCCTCTCCCCTAAATCTGCTACTGAATAAGAGCCTACAGTTGGGTATGATTATTTTTCCGACTTTCGAAGGAAATGAAGGAAAATATAAGCTTGGGGTGGTTTTTTCTCCAGACAAATTTCGACTTTTTATCTAGCCATTTTTGGCGGGAATTTTTTATCATCTAGAAGATATTTATGTCAAATTTAAAAAGATTTTTTTAACTTGTGATCATTTTGATAACTAAATACTGTTCTTTTGATGCAGGAGGAAATCGCACAGTTTAGAATGAAGGAGGCGACAATGCTTCTCAAACAGACAGACATGAAATACGAGCAGGTCAGTCGAGGCATCCAATTTTATCGTTGTTTCTCTTCGATACAAGTCTGAAAGATGCGTCACGTCATTTGAAACATTAGAAGATTGAAAGAAACCAAGCAAATGGTTGCTTACGAAGACTTTGAGAAAATTGTCCATGGGAGACATCTTTATCTGGAGGCACCAACTATCATATTTGTACCGGAGTAAACTTAGTTTTACTCCACAAGGGAAAGCAACAGCATATGAGCAGCTCAAATTTATGAGGATATTGGTTGTTGTATCTGTCCTTCAAAAAATAGCTAATAATGAAATCGCTCTAATTTTTTTAATTATGTTTGCAATCGATAATTGGAAATCAGTCGTATCAATTGATTGTAATGGATTAATTATATTCATAGGCAGTGCGCAAGACAGTGGCCTTAGAAGCAGATTTGGAGAAGGCAGAGGAGAGGGCGGACTTCTTTGAAAAGTGAGTGCATAGTACTCGTAGTACAATACGAATTTGTAGAACAATACTTCTCACTCATATTCTGTAGTCAACGGCCGGCAATGGTAATTTTATCCTAAGAAGATAATTAATATTGCGTAGAGAGTTAATCCTGCGAATTAGTCATAAGAGCATCGGCGACAAATTTCGTAATTGATGAAAGTTACGCATCAAATCCGTCACCCGCTTGAAGAAGGTTCTTTGGTCGCTGTGTATTTAAAAATAAGTTCATTCCGAATGATTAGTTGAGTATTACGATGTACGACTGTTAGTTCACGAGTGCCTATATAAAACGATCCATCATCCAGAAAAAAAGAACATGAGTTTTATCGCTTGATTCGGACATTTTTGTCCGGAGCTGTTCTTTGGCCCTAAATAAACGAGTGCGAATCTTAGTTTTTGAGCCATTAACACGCCCATTGAGTATCTGGGCTCTTTTCTCTGGTCAATTGAATTCTTTTCAGTTATATTTACTTAATAATAACTCATTTCTCCTACCTTTCTAACTCGTAGCCACTTGTGGTCATTGTAGGAAGGCGAAGAAGTTGGAGAAGGAGATAGGGAGTCTAGGAAACAGTGTGAAGAGTTTGAGACAGATGATAGAGAAGCACGAGGTGGAGTCGGAGTCCAAGGACACCCTCATTCGACGTCTGGAGGAGGAGTTGACCGAGGAGACCAACAGGGCCGACCAGGCGTCCCTCGAAGTGTCCAAGTTGGAGAAAGACGTCAGTAGATTATTTATATCACTCATAAGAATAGATATTTATATTATATTTATTCAATATATCTGAGCAGTGGTTTACCGAGGAAGTTTAGAATGCCGTGCGCTTTTTCTTGCAATTTTTTAAGACCAGCCGTTTTTATTAGGCATAAAGTTTTCTTTAGTCGAATGTAATTTTTTGAGTAATGGTATCTTTTTCATATTTATTGTATGATCACCAGAGGTTCTTGCGAACAAGTTTAGTTGATTCGCTATGATAAGTGAGATATATTCGTGTTAATGTTAATAGTTTCTTGAGACAGAATAGGGTGGGTTTTTTAGATTGACGAGCTAGAGACGAACTTCATCACGGAGCGAGAGTCGTTTTCGAAGGCCCAGTTAGAACTAAGGGAAATGATGCGAGAGTTGACAGACGAATAGACGAACAAACGAGTGAAAAGAAAAGATCTCAGACTTGGGCTCTCAACTCAGAATCTTCGTTGAATGAAAAAAAAAACGACAACTTAAATTTGAAAACTCTCTTTTTCTACAAAATAAATTTGCAGCAATTTCACTTACTTAACTTTACAGCAATGATTAGGCAATTATTAACCTGGCTCATTTCAATCGGGTCATTACATTACCAGATAATTCCATTTTATGGGTAAATTAAATTACAGCTACATTTTATGTAAATTATTTGATTATCGGTATTGGAAAATGTTTTTTTTTTGAGATCTATACTGCATTGGGCTACAAAAATTAAATGTTATTGTGTTTTTACATAATGTAATTTCGAAATCAATGCATGGAGCTTTTCAACTATTATCGCTAAACATTCGAATAATTTGCATTCCAGTACAAATGAAAATATTTATTGTCTTCTGAAAATTCTCTTCGTAGATCGCCTGGATTTCTGTATATCATAAGTCAAGAAGCGCAGTGTTAGCAAATATGGAAAAAGGTTCCCTCACTTTCTTCGAATGTCGGAACATTAACAGCAAAATATGGGTGGTAGGCTGAAACATTTTCCTTGTTTCTTAATATAGTCAAATCTTTAACGTTTACAAGGTACTAATAACGAACACAGAGATTGGAACCACCAAAGCTTTTTTAAAAGCCAGATAATTTTGTTATTAAAACTGATGTCAAAAAGCCATGATATTTATCTCAAGGTTAAATCAATAAAACAATTAGTTCTGGCCATGAATATAATTATTCGAAAATTAAAGAACGAAAATTAAATTTCGATTTTTTTACATTCCTAAACTTAAAAGAGGTGTGAGACTAAGAAAAAACGCTTCGCTAAATGATGGGAAAAAAAGTGATTTACAACCTTATTTCAGTTTGGCACGTGCTCCAATGCCAAATAAGTGTTATTAAACGCAGTGAAGACTCTAATATACGTCTTGGTGTTTTTTAGTTCATTTTTTTCTAGAAAAACTTTCAAAATGCTCTAGTAACTACAGATCGTGGCTCGATCGTGGAGATGGCCAAAAAAACGCACAACTTCTAATTGCGAAAAAGTTTTTTAGATTTCTCAAATATCTCAAACTTAACCAAAAAGTTTTATCATAAAAACGTTTTTGAAATTGAACTATCACTAAGGCTGGATAAGTTTATAATTTGAAATATAGTATGCTAATAGTTAATGTTCCAATTATTGATTCTCGAGGCAACTAATATCTCTACTTGAAGAAGAGTGACTACCTAAAAACATCACGTAGACTCAATATATATGAAAAACTAAGGAAATGGTTAACAGTCATCAAAAACAATTAATCAACCTTTAATATGAACCAAACAGTGACCGATATAACTGAGGATACAGCAGTCTAGGAAGAAGTATTCACTAAAAATATCACAATGGACAAAGAGGACAAGGAAGAGGAAACAGACAAAAAGGATGTTTCAGATGTGCAGCAAATGATCATTTGCGTAAAAGAGCTCAAAAATTATTTCGAGAATGGACGAAGCAGAAAAGTTTTTTCTTTTTGCATCCAGAGTAATTTTTGGTCAGCTTCAAACTGCGTGAAGATCCTTGGGCAATGCAAAGTTTTATTGGAAAAAAATCCCAGTTTGAAGCTGCCGGTAAATGATTGAAAATTGCAATTTTGTATGGTAATAATAAATAGGTACAACATAAACTGTTGAAAATATTTTGACCTTCAAGCTTAAGTTTTTCCAATCAGTTCTTTTAAGCTTAACCTTTGTCATTTTGTCGACGTTTTAGATCTTTTATTTTTTTGAAAAAATGCATGGCTAATCGCTTATAAAAATGAAAACTGTTCCAAAGGTATCGGCTCTAAGTTATTCAGTAAGCAAATAAAAATTGTTCTGAAGGTATCGGCTTTAAGATATTGGCGTTTTGTTCGTTTGTTTTCCGTAATTCAACTTGGTTTCTCTTTTCCTGATTTTCCATATCCGTGGTTGATTCGGATTCGCCTGGGCTTTCTGATTTTAGAAGAGGGTCGTCGAAAACCTCACCTGGTGGTTGTGAGAGGACATTTGGGTCGCAATGCTCCCTCAAAGGGATGGCAAGAAAAATTTGTTCATTCCAGGTTTCCCAAGGTTAAGATGGGTGATATGTTGGTGTTGGCCAGTAAACGGGAACTTCCAGTAGATTGGACTTCTCAACATGATTCATAATTGCTGGCTGCGCCAAATGATATGTCTGAATTTATCTATGCTAATTGTATAACTAGGAATAAGAATTGTTAAAAGACTAGAATTAACTTCCAATAGATAAAATACAAATCGACAATCTATGCTGTTATCTTTCAAAATGCATCAGGCAGAGTTAACATAATTCTCTCACTCAAGTGTCAATCACGGAATACATGTCCCGATAGTGACACGTACATTTAAATCAACAAAGCTAGACGTATTACAGCTACAGCTAAACACGGTACGCTGTGCCGTACCACAGATGGGGGGGGGTGAGGCTTCGAAGGTGGCATGCTGGGGGATATGTGTATGCGCGGGGTGAAAACTTAGGGTTGGCAACAAGGGAGGGGATAAACGTACGCCTGAAAGAATGGAGGAAGGGGAGTTTACGCATGAATCAAAATGTTCGTTCGGGCTCTAGTTTTGCAGAAAGCTGTAAAAAAGAGTAAACGCTTCAGATTTGCAATGAATAATCAACTTTTGTGAAAAAAAAATCTTATCGAAATCAAAATTGATTATAATCGTTTTTTAATTACTAAAAATAGTGAATTAAAATTCATTCTTATGGTTGAATGGGTCATAAAAATCGATTATATTGTTTAAATTTTCCACCGGTTTAATCCAGTAAAATTCATTTTTCTCTTGAGTCTCTAGTGCAAGTGTGCAGGAGTTTTTTTTGGCAGAGTTGTTTTTTAAAATGTTGTAGATAGCTGTATCTCAAAAACCAGACATGCTTTGGACCTAATTCAATTTGTCATGAGAAAAAAACAGTACATCAAGTGTTTTAAGGATTGTCAAAATGGTCAAAAAAGGCAATTGATAGTTGAGCAGTAACTTGCTGATCTAACTCATCGAGTAAGCGTTGAATGGATCAATGCTTGGTTGATAAATAGAAATTGAGTTGAGATTGGTAATGTTGCTGCCCCCATAAATGCATTACCGGTTATTATCCTCGATTGTTCAGTTTAAAAAAAAATACTATAAAATTGTAATTTAAAACTCAACAATAATTTTATACATGATTTCTGCAATTTTTGTCGGAAGTTATATCCGCGAAAGACTGAATGTTTGTTTCCACTTCTATGTGAAAATTTTTCAAAGCCAAACTAGAGAAGTGATTTTTTTCATATTGCATCGAGGGTTTCAAATTGCGTGAAGATTATTGGGCAATGCAAAGTGCTATTGAAATAGTAGCTCCATATGAAGCTGTCGGTATATGATGGAAATCTGTTGAAAAATTTCAGACCTTCAAGTTTAAGTTTTTTGAATAAGTCATTTTAAGTTTCGCGTTTGGCTTTTTGTCGACGTCGTAGGTGTTTTATTTTATTGAAAAATTGCATGGCTAATGGCTAATAAAAGAAAATGTTGTAGATCAATGCTTGGTTGATAATTAGACGTCTTTTAAAATTGCAATCGTGTTGCACTGCTTGGTTGACGGTTCAAAAGAAATGTTGGAAGTTTGATTGAAACTTCAACGCCATTTTCTTCTCTCAGAGTCATAATTACTTCAGAAATTTAGGAAGTTGTCCTATAATGCGTTAAAAGTTTTAGTAGGTTTTTGGGCATGAGTCAAATTATTAAGGCATTGGCTGGTATGTCGCTGGAATGTGCGCGAATTAACCCAAAAGATGGAAAATGGAGTTTGAAGTCCAGACTGCAGGTGCAGATTTATCTGAACCTAAGAGCTGAGACAAAAATCAACCTGAATCTTCAGAAATTTTACAGTCGAGTTGAAGTATCTTCTTTGTTTATTTATCGCTAATTTTTCAATTAAGAAAATTACTGTTAAAAATTATAACGTTCAAAAACTGACAGGGGTAGGATTCTAAAGTTTTCCTTTAATTTAATTTCACATAAATTAACCCAAAACAAATCCAAACCTATTTTGTTGCATAAAACAACTATTCATCCATTTATAAGTCATTTATATTTATTTAATCAATCCTTTTAGATTATCTGTTTATATTTACCTCTAGGACCAGATCCACGATGACCTTTGATATAATTTATCCGAGATACATAATTCTAATTTTAATTGAAACAAAGCAAACTTTAAAACGATCCAATGTTTCTTTCAATATAGTGCCCACCCATTCTACATAATATTAGTTCCATTTCTAATCTTGTTGAATTGGACGCTGTTGACCCCAAAATATCTTATTAGTTGTTGACTAGAAAACTAATCCATGTCCTAAGCCATGAACATAAGCAGATTACCTCCTTCAATCAGACTTAACCTATAGTAATTAAATTTAAAAAAAAAACATTCAAAAATTATTACTTGAGCAGGAAAATTCAGTGCAACTTTGCTCAACCTTAACATGAGCTAGCATGATCATAGAAAATATATTCTAATAGATATTTTTCAATTATTGTAAAATGTTTCACAAAAAAAACTGTACGTAGAAATTATAGCGTAGAAATTTTTATCTAGCCATTTTTGACAGATTTTAAAAAAAAATTTTTTTCAAAAGATATTGTAGTTCTGAGCTTAAACTTAAAAAAATTTCACCTGATCATTTTTTGTAAAGTTACGGGGGTTTAAAGAGTGCGCTTTTAGCCAATTTTGAACAATTAACGCGCAATATACTTCGCTCTTTTCGCGCGTAGCCGGAGATCTAATTCATCTTAAAAATCTTTCCAAATTGATTGGACGAAGCTTATTTGCCGTAATCGATTTGTTACTAGGAGCGAAGTTTAGCATTTTGTACTTTATGCCGTGTGGACGGATGATTTTCGCAAGAATATCAAACCAAAAAAAAATCACTTTTTTTGATTTTTTCATGTTACTACTGGCTCCATACACCTTAAAAGGCAATTGATCTTTTCAGGGCTTCGCCGTGATACCAGCCGTTTTTTTTACCAAGCATTTCAAGTATGAAGTGGTGATTTGTTGATTTTTGCCAGATTTTTACACATGAACTTAATTTCTGGAAAAAACTCGACTATCGGACTTTCAACTATATATGTAGATGTTTTTGTGGATTAAATTCTGCTGGCCAGTCAATAAGCAGAATGGTCTAAGAGCAGAATAGGTCCAAAAGCAGATTTTAATTTTTATAAGCTAATGGGTAAATCAAAGATAAAACTTGTAAATATTACCAGAAAAACAAAAATTTCATGCATGAATTGAATACTTTACTCAAGACTTTTCAGAAAAATCCAATGAAAAAACTTGATGAAATTAATCAATATCTGCGTAATTTATTA